TTTTTACATTGCACATGCACACAGAACTCGAAAAAATGTATTAAATACACATCTTATGATAACCTTTACTCTCCCTGTACACCATTGGATTCTTTCTTTAGCAGAAAGATAACAAAAAGTAGTAGAAAGTCTGGCACCTTCATACAAGTTCTTGAACTTTAATTCTTTTTAAGTATTTTTAACAATTCAACAGGATAGGATGCTACAAGTAAGAGCAGGGATCTTACTAAATTTAACATTTCACATATTGATTTTATATTGTGTAGTCTTTCTTCTAATATTTTAGTATTTTTTTTAAGTACTTCTTTTAGGTGTTGGTTTTTTTTTCACTTTTAAGTTACTAAATACATATGTTCTGTGGTGACTATAGAAAAGGCTTTTCTGGCTTCTTTTTCACCCAGTTTAGTAGAAGCTTCTGCTTGTATTTCTTTTGTCTCAGCTGCATGACACCAGCCTTCAAGATGCTTTTTGTGATACCAAATTACTGAATTTTATACCCGAAGACAGTAATTAAATTATACTGGTGTTTGCAGATGTGTTTGGTCAGCTGTTCTCCAAAACAGTTACCAGAATCTTCTACAGTTGCTGCAACTTGCATGACACATCTTTTTCAAACACTGATGGCATCTCCATCTCAATTGTGGCTTAGATATGACATTCTTGCCTGCTATTTTGTTTTCTTCATGTTACTTTCTTCTTTCTATTTTTCCTTTGTTTTTTTACTTGTTTGTTCATTTTTGGGTTGGGTTGGGTTTTTGTTTGGGGATTGGTTTAGTTTTTTGCTTTTCTTAATACATAAGTATGTGTCAGTTCCTGAACTCCGTTTGAGAGGTTAATTGCAGCTTATGGAAGCGCACAATAGTGTTGTTTACACTTCTTAGCACTTGATATATTCCTGCTGAAGATTAGAGGGATTTGAAGGCTGCAGTAGTGACTGGAAACCCTTGAGACCCACTTCAGCACCTGGAAATTACTGTGTGATGGAGCCACTCTGGTAATACCCTTCTTCCTCAAGTCAGATTAGCTTCAAGATATTGGTTTCCATGAGACAGGCTTTGCAACATCTTAAGCAAGATCTGGCCCTGAAATACCACATATATTTTTTGAAGAGTATTGTACATCCTTTTGCATAGAGAGGGCTCTAGGAGATAAGATCTTTTGCCCATCTGTCTTGTTCCTACCTGATAGCTAAAGTTATTGGTGCATTACTAATCACATATCATCTGGCATATTTTTCCAGCTTAATTATTTATTTCTATTTTTTATCCTGACTATTTTTTGAAGAGCCATACTTGTATAATCCTTAGGTGGAAGAAGTGCTCTTGTATTCTGTGCATTACTGACAGCCTCTCCATCCTTGCTAGCTGGGGTAGGCAAGGAAGTATTTGATTCATTACCATGGCACCTATCCAGTCTCTCCCTCTGAACCCTGAGACAAATAAGGAGTGTATCTTGCTGAAAATTTAGTGTGGAGATCCATTAAAGGTTTTCAACTATCAAGATGCTGAATTTTGGATTGACACAAGGCTGATGTAGCAGGCAGAAATGTCCAAGTCTTCAACACGAGAAGAATTTATTGCTTGTCTTCAGAAGACAAGTGCTACACTGGCCAATTCAAAACCTGTGGTCACTGTTTCTAATTTAGTGCCCATATTTTGAACCCATTACTTTTTGTGATTCATGGGCAGCAATATCGTTAAGAGAAGGGGAAGAAAAAGTTTCCAAGAAGTCAAGGAAAGAGATCTAGTAGCTGTAAGAAATGTAAGTCCACAGTGGTTCCTCCTTAAGACATGGTCATTTCAGCAACCCTTAACAATAGAGTAGAACTAGATCAGAGACTAAATGTCAGCTGTTCTTTGGCAAAGAAAGTAGAGAAACAACATGTGACAAAAAGTGCCTACTGCCTCAGTTTGTGTCTTTCAGAATGCCTGGTGCTTAATAATATATATGTATGTGTTTGTGTGTGTGAGAGAGAGACTTGAAAAAAATGCTACCAATGTAGTGAAAAGCTGTTCGTATTTATTTTCATTAAAATGTTTGACAGAATTTCTTTCTTGTCTTGATCCATCTCAGTAGAACTTTTTGTGGACAAACGTGATGTTGGGAGAGGGAGAACTTTAGTAGCTGGCACAAAAATGAGAATATTTAAAGTTTTTGTTTTTAATGGTAGAATTTTTGTGGTAAGTTTAAATACTAAATGTTGGTCCAAATCAGTGTAAAATTTTCAGAATTGTCCTTGAACGTTACTAGCTCACCATTTTCTGTGATGCTATATGGACCTTTACTTGTATTAATTAAAACATTAGTTGTGCTTCCCAGTTTTTTATATATTTTTTCTACCTATTGAACTGGACAGTGCTTGTATCCATGGATCATCAAGAACCATGAGAACTATTTGAAATTTACTAGATGAAGTCATATGTTGCAGTTCCACTTGGGTTCAGTTGCTTAAAGAATAGGAGAAGGTTTAAAGACTTACAAAAATATTTTTAAGGGGAATACATAGATAAGTAAATATTATAGTATATAAACATTCTTGTAAGACAGAGTTGTATCAAAGATGCTCCTGTAGTTACTCCATACAATAAACTAATGAGTCAGTTAAGAATAGATGAACTGCCTCTCAAAGTCTCCTTGGATGCCTCAGGAAACTATGGCTCAGAAAAAATTTTTTAAATCATGATTTATATATAATTTCAGAGAAGAATACTAGATTTACTCTCTGAGTCTTTTATTAAATAGACTTGAGACCTGTTTAGATCTAGACCTTTGCAGAAATTTAAGCAGCTACTGACCTCAGGGGCACAGCAAACCAAAAAATATGGACTCTAAATTGTCAGGCAGAAACAATGCAAGTCATATTTTGAAAAATGAAATTGTGACTTTGTATGAGTAAGCCTCTTTCTCTCCATAATGCAGTAGGATATTTGTTTCAGCTGTTAAAATAAAATTTCAATTCTATACAAAAGGTAAGTTTTAGGTATTTTTATAAATGCATGGAAAGGTGAGCCTACTGGGAAGAGAGGGGACGAGCAGGTTTCCATCCTGGAAAGGATGGAAAGGAAGGAGCAGATGTTCTGACAATAATGCACTATTACATACCTATATTAGTTCGGTGATTCTGCATTAAGATATGGTTGAACTGAGACACTACTGATTTTCCTTTTATGAGATGTACAAGTTAAGGTTTCATTTGCTGAGTGAGGCAGGCTAAATCCAAGATACTCACTAGAGTGTGTGCACTCCATACAATGCACTTGGTTGACCTTTATGGAAATTGGTGAAATTCTAACCTCCTTACACTTTTACTGTTTTATAAGGGCCTGCATGTTTACAGCCTTCACCACATGTACAGCCCTTTTTCTTTCTTTCTTATCAGTGAATCTTGCCATCAGAGAGAGGGCATGAAGAAGCCTCCCTCTTCCATAGCACATAATTTGAAATGCCTTTTTTATTAAAGTAATTTTTCACAATTGTCATTGAACTTCCTTCTCCAGTTTGTGCACTCTGTATTTTAAATTACTTTCTAGTACCTATTCTGAACATGTATTTATGTAGGTTACATTATTTCAGCTTTCATCTGATTCTGAGATGTGAAAGATTCCGTTAAATTTTTTATGCAAGATCACAGGAAAAATTGCTAATTATTGGTAACCTAATTATAATTCTTTTGCTAGCTATTGCTGCTATTAATACATGCATTACCAACACTGATGATCACTGGCATTTCAGTTTGTAACATAGTGCTGCTGATGGAGCTAAAATACGCTATTCATTTGTAAAACAGTGAAGTTGATCATAGACTTATAGTGACTTGACAGTGGTCCTTAGCTAGAGCTTGACAGTGGTCCTTAGCTAGAGCTGACTAGATGATGCCTGTGTAGGTATATCTGTTTCTATTTGAAGAGACCCCAAAGAGTGGGTTGAAATGTGCAGCAGCTCACTTGTCATCAGAGATTGCCCCTGGAAAGCCCCTGCAGACTCCTTCTTTTTTTCTCTCCCTTGTCTCCAGTGGCAGTGTCATGAACAGAAGTGAGCTCCTCTTTCATGAGATAAACAATCGGTATTTTTTGTCCCTGTATTCACAGTCAAAGCATAATTTCAGCTCTTCATTTTCTTTTAGAGTTATAGGTACATTTGCTTGCCAAAATGATCCTCTTCATCATCTGTTTCGTCAGATGTTTGTGCCTTTTTCCTGTAGATCTCACACTTGCCGCTAACCTCTCAGCTTTTTAGATTTCTAGATTACTGTCACACTTTGGGATGTAATGGAAATGTTAAACGTATTGGCTGATACTACCAGTTGTTTATTGTAACGGGATGACGTTGTTTGTGGGCTACAAAGTAGTATAGGAGTAGCCAAGAGCCACTAGAATCTCACAGGGTGCAGGATGGTATGACAGATTTGGGTATATATTTGGTTTTGAGAGCATGGAGTCACGTATGGAGGCATGGAAGGAATAACATTGAATTAATATGGTTCATTTAAACCACCAAAGTTCTAAATATTTATGATATAAACCTGAAATCTGTGCCCTCATAGGTTAGAGTTTGTATTGCATTTTGATGTTACCATGAAAAAGTGAACAGAAAGTATTTGCAAATTATTTTGCTATTAGTTACCTCGTGACTCTCCCCAAAACATTTTTATTTTATATTCTAGGCTTTCTCTCTTTCCCTTCGCCAGTGGAAAGTACAGATTTGTGATTATATGATCTAAATAGTTTATTATTCTTCTCAGTTAATTTATATCCTGTGTTCACAATAGCTGTAACAGTTTTAAATAATTTGTCTTGGTAGATGGATTTGCTAAGAATCTTTAAATTTATTTAGTTCTGCTAAACATTGTGGAAGATTATACTGAATGCTCTGTGGAAATATTTAAACTGGATGCCTGAAGTGTGAGCAGGACTGAAGCCATATGCCCAGTGACTCAATGTGATATTTACAAGCTATGTTGAATTACTTAGCAGTTTGTTGTTTTGTTTTTTTTTTCATAGCCTTTCATGTCCCCTCGGTACCCTGGAGGGCCAAGGCCACCTTTAAGAATACCCAATCAGGTAAGAATTTGTCACTGATGTACTGTTGTGGTCCAGGGTCGTGGTGCAGCACTGGGAGGAGGCAGTGTTGGTTTGTTGGCTACCAGCGGCTCATTGGCTACAAAAGTTGCTTGATCCCACTCCATCCCATTTTGTCCAACCATTAAGTAGTTATTTTGATAAGGTGTGACCATGCCACACCCAGTTCACTTTCCTATGTTCGATTAGTGTCTACACCTCAAAATTTATTGTACATTAAGCCTGTTTGCAGAAGGAGAATATACTTGCCTTCTGTGGTGCTGCATTAACCTCAGCCAGCCTACACTACTTGCTCTGAGACTGAAGGCAGAATGCCCTCATAGCTGTTACACTCTCTAAACTTTACTAACCACATCAGGTAGTTACCTCTGAGAAAATGCATCACCCCATCCTATTCTCTGTTGGATAGGGAAAGTATATTTATTTCACAGCAAGTGTGGAGATTACTGGTGAGACACAGTTATCATAAAGCGCTCAATGGCTCTTCTAGACACTCTCAGAACTTTATAAAAGCATCGAGTTCCCAATTTCCTCCCATCTCCATCAAAGTCTATGCATGCCAGTATAACAAGAATGAGTAATGAGCTGCTGTTCGTCAGCAGAGACCTTTATTGGCCCATCTGTGAAAAGATGGTTCTGGAAGCAGATAGCAGTGTATTTTTAAGTTCTCCATAGTGCAGATAGAGGAGGAGAAAGCAGTTGTCAACAGATGAAAAGTTAGAGATAAGCAGACAGAAAAACAGTGTAGCTCTGAAACTAAAACTGGGTCATTTACAATATTGGGAAAGTTTGATAGGACAGATGGAATGGGTTTTTTTGGTGCAACTTAGACTTCCAGGACTGCCTTTCTTGTCACAGCTTGATGAGGAGTCTTATCCGCTCCAACCTCAGTTCTGGCTATTTTTTATATATGTGTAACACAATGTCAACAACCTTGTCTTTAGCACTGGCACAATATTGCCAGAATGTTGAAGTTTAAAATTCAGTGAGTTGGCTAGATGAGGTCACAAGACTTCTTCCAGTGTTCCTCCAAATCAAACATGGTGATGTTTGGGAGCTGGTTAAGTTACCTGTACCATAGCTACTTTTTAACAAGGGAAATGTAATTAGCCTTGTTGAAATGATCATCAAGGGACAACAGAAGAGTGCAGTGTCATTAGCACTTCAGTGAAATATTTGTTACAGACATACTGTAACTCAGTACAAAATCCTTTCTGATTTTTGCACCTTTCAGTTCTGTCTTAGCCAAAAATACACCAGTATTTGGGCTTCACATATTCCTTTGTTTTGCTTTCTGTGTTTCTGAAGACTGTAAATACTGGCAGGTAGAAACTGGATGTGACGAATACTGAGAAAGTGCTGCCAACCTGCAGTTTTAGTATCAGAAGGTTTTTGTCTGCACATTGTGATATTTTCAGTTCAGAACTGTGACATAATCACATAATCTTAGTGAAATACAGCCTTTGCAATTAATTTACATTATACTGCATTCATGAATTACTGCTTTTAATAGTGCTGCCATTACTTATGTTGCAGTATAGACGGGCAGTGTGTGGAAGTAATAAACTATTGTGCAGCTTTAAGGCTGAAATTTTGATGAGTTGGAAGTCAGTAAAAATCAGAGTTAAAATTCCCACTGTAACTATATCCCTTAGTGCCTTGCAGTAGGGACAGTGTTTCTTAGGTGAGGAAGGGTAACACAGGACACACGTGCACAGCACTGTCCAGTGCTGTATAAGGGTTATCTGAGCTAGATCTAGGCTTTGTAGCAGGAACGTCAGCACCAACCGACTGCCACAGGAGTGCCCCTAAATTGTCTCCAGTACTCGATCACATCCTTTGTTTGCTGTTTGGCAGTGCACTGTGCTGTGCAGGTACACTTGTTTTTCTTGAAAAGAGGTATGTCTGAGGTAGACCACAGTCTCTTCTGTAATTATCCACAGTGTGATGACTGCATGAGTTAAGTTGCCGGTCACATGTGCTCACAGCAGCAAATGCCTCCGTGTCCTTGCATGTCACCTGCCATCTCTGGCAGAAGTGACCAGGTCCCGCTTTGCTAGTATTTGACACTTCTTCGTGCACTTCATGTATCGTTCTTATGTGTCATCCAGACTTGAAGCCACTGAAGTACATGTAAAATTCTGGTTTAAATTATGGTATCTTGCATTGTTTATTCCATTCATCTTGCAGGGCAGTACCTTTTGACTGTATTACCTTTGAGGCAATAACATGTATCATTGTTTAATTTCCTACCTCTTGTGGAAACCAACTATAGTATTTGCAGATAGGTTCCCCTTTGTATGTATCCAAGTCTACTACAGTATTTCTAGGTTATTAGTAACTTATCCATTCCCACAGTAAGCAATACACCTATTGCCTGAGTAGATTACTTTTATAATAACAGATTTCCTCATTCTGGATACATTTTTACTGAAAATGTGGTGTTGTTTTGAAATGCTAATTAGCACCTAGTGGATCAGCTACAAAGATCCACTCATAAAAACATTTTTATAGTTGACTAAACTGTAAGTTAGAGACTGTAGAAATTATCTTTAAACCTAATTTCAGTTACTGTAAGCCCAAAGGGCAGATTAAAATGTGGAGAAATAAAAGCAGTGTGTGTGATTTGGACCAGAGGTGAAATGACAACACACTGTACCTTCACACTTGAAGGCAAGATTTAAGAGCAAGTTCTGTAACTGTTTGTTATCTCCCATAGATGAATAACAAGCTTATCTTGGCACTGGTGCCCTTCAAGAGTAAGGTAGAGTGAAAGACAAAATGTCCCCCACGTCGCAGCCCTAATTAACCATACCCTGTGAATGCTGTGCAGTTGGCTCAGCTACAGCTGACTCTCCGAGAATCAGTGTCTGCATCCTGACCTGAAAGGAATGTTAAAATTAAAATAATGAGTAAAAGGGAAAACTGTAGCAATATAAGCTTTGGATAACTTGTCACATACCCAAGAAAAAGACAGTCTTTGCAGGTTAAGTAACAGGTAAGCTAAAGTGAAGGAAGTGTTGTGCAAGGGGAAGCAAATTAGGCAAATATATTTTGGAGATTATTTGTACATAATTGAACAGAAGTCCAAGAATTTGTCCATATGGATCCATAGTCAGGGTCATGGGACATTCAGGACTTCTAGTTTAGTTGGGCATTTAGGACATTTAGTTAGGGCATTTAGGAAGTGTCCTGGTTTCAGCTGGGATAGGGCTTTTTTTTTTTTTTTTTTTTTGTAGTAGTAGTAGTAGTAGTAGTAGCTAGAATAGTGCTGTGTTTTGGATTCAGTATGGGATTTGGTATGAGAAGAATGCCAGTAATACACTGATGTTTTCAGTTGTTGCCAAGAGAACAAGGAGTTTTCAACTCCCCGTCTCCTGCCCGTGCTCAGGTGTACAAGAACCTGGGAGGGAGCACAGCCAGAGCACCAGACCCAAATTGGGCAATGGAATATTCCCTATCATATTCCATCATGGTCAGTATATAGAGGAGAGTTGGCCAGGAAGGAGGGGATTCTCTCTTGCTTCCAGGATTGTGGTTTCAGGATCTTGGTTTTCTTCAGGATTTCTAGCCAGGAACAGGCTGGTGAAGTGCTAAGGCTTGGACAATAGGTCCAAGCCAGAGTTGACCTATAGATTAATCCTGTATATTGCATAACTGATAACCATTGTGCTCAGTATAGGTATTATACTAAGTTATAATAAACCACCCATCCTGATGTAAAAGGTGGAAGTGTTGAAGCCTGAGCAACAGGACCTGAACCAAAACTATTAACTCAGAGTGTAATCCTTAATGAAATATGCATGGGGATGTAGCTTTCCCTCCCTTTGTATGTGAATAGAACAACAGAGTCATGGAGGCAGGTGTCTGTCCCCAAGACCTGATGTGAGACCTTGCACATAATCCCATCAGATAAGCAGAGAAACGCCCTGAGCTTCTCCCTTGAGCCCTGGCGAGGCTCTGGGGGAATCTAATGTGAGATTGAAACCAGGTATTTCCACTTAAAACAAAGGTGCCAGCTATTCTGGCTTGCTGATTTTGGGGTATACAAGGCTGGACCCGCTCACAGTGACTTTGGCAGACTCACCTACGGGTGGAGGCACTGCGTAGGATTTCCCCCTTGCCGGGACAGGCTCTGCAAACCCTCGCTGTAACCGGGGCTGCCCAGCCACTGCGGGCTGGGTGATGGTAACGTGTGCAAGTGGGGATGGATCTTTCTTAATCACTGTTCTCTCTCTCCCAGCAAGTAATAATTTGATGCGTTACCCTGTATTTTCCTATTTAAGTGCACTGTTCTGTCTTTTCTTACTGTATATTTTTTTTATTATTCTGTAATATTATTTAGTTATTTCTAGTAAAATACACCTGCTCCTTTTTCACTCTGGTGTCTGAGTTTAATTGGTCTCCCTAATCACCAAAACAGCTGGGTATCTGTTGGCAGGTGGTGAGCCATTGCAATATGCATTACCCGTTTGTACTTCTGTTATTGTTTCATTTTATTTTTTTTTTTCTTATCTCAACCTACATATCTCCCTTTACCCTCCAATAATACTACCCCATACTCCTGGAGGGGGATGGAGAGTCAGCAGCTGTGTGGTGTTTGGCTGCAGATTGGGTTTAAACCATGACACAGAGTTAACTCTACCACATTACTGTTGACTCAGAAGAAACATCTGGGAATTAAAAACAAAATATCTGCATTATGCCTTATATATTTCAAAGCATTATATGCTCTTAATAAATGGTTTCTGTTCCTGCAGGCACTCGGAGGTGTTCCAGGAAGTCAGCCATTATTGCCTAGCGGGATGGACCCAACACGGCAGCAAGGTGAGTGAAATAATTATTTGGACCATTCAGAAGTACTGTGTTCTCAAACTTGCACCTTCTGTTCTGCTTACTGCAGCTTTTTCAGCTTTTTGTTAATTAAAAAGGAATGATTTGTTGAAGTTGTTTTAGAAGGTGTTTGTGTATTGCATAGTTTTTTAAGTTACATCATTTTATCTGCAGGGCATCCAAACATGGGTGGGCCAATGCAGAGAATGACTCCTCCAAGAGGAATGGTTCCATTAGGACCACAGGTACCTTTCACAGATAGATACCAATTTTTATTGATAGGCCTGTACTTATACTATATTACTCTGGCTTTCCATAGCTTGAAGATGGCCAGGATTTGTTTTTGTAATCCCATTTTAAAATAGAACTTTCTGTTTTACAAACATTAATTCTGAGTTGCAACTGTAAAAAGTCTTAAAATGAAAGTATCAGTCATTTGAGTTAAGTGTTGAAATTAAAAGAGGAATCTCTTTAACTTGCTTATTTCAGAAAAGTTATGTCTGTCCTATAGCCAGTGTATGTTGTAATCAAAGGCTGACATTTGTAAAGGAGACCAAGGACTGATTAGGTGTTTCCTCATCTTCCAAACCTAATTACTTATGCTGTTTAGGAGGAAAGGATTAATACTTTTAATTTAGGCAAACTCTTTGTACCAAAATTAACCCCCAAAGTTCTGTAGAATTTTGATTTCATCTGCTATTGATCTAAATTTTTGGTGACTGCTAGAGTGATTTTATTGTAAAAAGAGAAGTTAATGCTGCCATTTCTCCCCCTTGTCAATCGCAAGCATCTCTTGCTCTGTTTCCAAGGAGCAAAGCAACCTTTAATTGCAAGAATCATCCTTCTCCATGGTGCTGACCTGGTCATAGTTGTTCATAGGCTCTTTCTTCAAAAGTGTGAAAATATGAGAGGATATTTGTCAGTATTACATTTCAACAGTAAACTAGGGTAGAAAACAAATTAATTCTGATGCATACTTGAAATATGAATCTAAAATATTATTCTGTATTTTATCATCACTCTTAGTGAGAGAAAACTTAGGTGGTGGTGGTATATACTGGTGTTGTCAGTATTTTGTTTTACAGTATTCTTGTTGTGCCCCCACTTACCCATTTCAGATAATCTCTCGAGTGACTTCTTTTTGTTCCTTGTAATAGCAACTGAATTTTAAATTATTAAGTAGCTTTGCCTTTCAAATCTGGTCATAAGTGTCTTTACAGTTTTGGGTCTTCTTGGTAGAAACCAGTTGTGCATTTCTACACATCATCTTCTGTGTGACCAACAACCCTTTATTAAATACATTTGTTTTTTTCTGTAGCATTGAAGTGTATTTACCACTTGCCTTCTGGAGGTAGAAAGAGAAGATTTGCAATGCTGCCATATGAGATTGAGCTGATACTTTATGCAGCATCATTAGTCACGCAGCAGGCAAATCTCATGCCAGTGTTTATAAGGATATTTTTTTCATTTTTGCTCTCTAAAATCCTGTGGTTTTGTAAAGTTCTTCTTTCTTGTACCGAACATCCTCTTAAAATGGGGAAATATGTAGCTAATCTACACAAAATTTATGTTCACAAATCAATCTTTTCTATAAATGGTTCATCATCTAGCTTTGTATATGGCTTTTAGGATCCTTTCAGAATTCAGTTCTAAAACCAAATCTGATGAATCTTTCACACCTACTTTTAACATCCTCTTGCTACAGTGCTGTAAAGTTGACTCAGGTCTGCCCATAGTGGGAGGCCGTGCTGCCTTCTTGCACAAGCAGTCAACTTGCAAAACACTTAATGTGTTGATAGAGAAAAGCTTATGTCCAATATAGCAAGTATAACATGCATATGCTTGAAAACTTACAGAAAATTTACCTCAGTGTTGTATTTTATGATTCTAGTCTGTGTCAAACTAAATATTATGAAACAAAAAGCAGTGAATGGTTGTAAATGCTTGAAACTCTGAAAAGCTCCAAAGAATTAGCTCTTTTCAAGCTGTAGTTATGCTAGATGAATGGGGTACTACCTCCAGTCTCTGACTGCTACTTCTCCCCATCCCTTATATCTGCTGGTGATCCTCCCACATCCTCCAGTCAAAAAGAATCAGATCATCTTAAATATTTAAAAAAAAAAGTTGGCTAACCTGGCTCATTTTAGCCACCTAACATTAGGAAGCATTTTTATGAACAATTTAACTACAGGATAAACAGTGGTAGTGGTGACTTCGAGTAAAAAAACTGTAAGGAACAAATTGAGGCACTAACTTCTGCGGAGAGCATAGCTGCAGCTGAAGGAATGTATATATTGGTAGCCTTAATGACAGCACTCTTATTTTAGGACGAAGGAGTACATTTGATGAGGATTAGCCATAATTAGAGTTAGAAGTACATTTGGTTAGGATTATTCCAGTTCTACAGGATTCCATAGAGATCTTTAACCCCAGTCAACACAAATGAGTCCTGAATTAAAATAAAGAGGGAAGATACCAGACAGACCACATAGGGAGAATGCCTCATCCCTCCACATCAAGATGGAAAAATGAAATAAAACAGATGGCTGTTTTCTTACAGTCAGACTGTGTTCTTTTCCAGATCCAGTCTTGCCACTGGGGACATTACTGTGCCCAGCCGTTTTTACTAGCCACCAGTTACTGCCCTATAGTTCTGACAAAGGAGTGGCTCAGGCAAAATCATCTAGGATAACCTAGGTTAAATAGGAGGTTAATCTGGCTGACATTTGCCTGACCGTGTGCACCAATCAGTCTACCGGCTGCACACTGAAAGGAAGGAATGGGTAATGATTGATGACCAGCAGCTGCAGATAATACGATCTTCAGATGGCACTGCTGGGTCTGGAAGAGGACATTTGTTTGCAGCCTCTGTATTCTTGCAAGCCAGCTATCATTTAGACATTTCTAGGTAGCAATGAAGAAAATTTTTAAGTTCAGGGGTTCTGTCTGCAGTAACAGAAGCTCTTCTAGTTACAGATCAGTTCTAGATAGCTGATACATCATATCAGTCAAGGTATAAACAGCACCAGAATAACACTTTGAATATCATTGTTGGATTTCTCCCATGTATTCTTGGCTTCATGTTTACATGGTTTCGTGAATCAGACCAATATAGAGAACACCCATAAGCCTGAGTCATATAGTTTATGGAGTTTATCGTATGCTATACATGAAATAGTTTCATTATTGGAAAATAAACCACAATACTGACCTAAATCTTTTTTTTAAGTAAACCTCTTCTTTGTCCCCATTCTCCTTCCAAAATGCACAGCTGTTCAGAGAATTTAGTATTATCCATTCTTTTAAAATACCAGAAAAATGTAGCAGGATTGACACAGATTAGGAGTGCATTATGATTGTGAGGTGAGTTAGACTGTTCTGCTTGTATTCCCCTGAAGAAAATAGGTCTAATTTAGTTTTTCATGTAAATAATGCAGTTTGGCTTTTTTTGCATTATCAGAGCATAAATTCAGATTTTATAGGCACTGGGCAATTCATTTGGTGGCATTACTATGACATTCATTATCATATTTAATACTTTTCATATAGGTTACCATAGACTTATTAGACTGGCTGATTAGAAAACTAAAGTGACAGTTATGTTGTATGTTATAAAAGTGGTATCATATGGTATAATTTTATACAAGTATTTATTGATATCCTAACAAAATATAATTAAAAATAATTCTATTTAAAATCCACGATGTAGAAGTCTTAGAAATACAGGTTTCTGATTTTGAATGAGCTCCCTTGGTATAAAAGTTGAATACATTATAAAACCTGCCCCTTGCAGGCTGTTGCCTTCACCTGCATATGTGTAAATGATCTGTCCTGAAACAAGTGACATTTTAAGTATTCTCAGCCTATTTCTGTTGTTTGTAATTCTTTCTCCTTGGGGTTAACTATTATTTTTTTAAGTCAACAATGGAAACTCCTGAAAGAATGAATTACATTGGCCTATCCAGTCAGCAGTTATGTAGGGATATCATTAACCTGCTGTCCTTTCTTTCCCCCTCCTCTTTGGTTTTGTTTTTTTGTTTTGTGGTAGTCTGACCCTTGGTTATCATTGCAGAACTATGGAGGTGCAATGAGACCCCCACTGAATGCTTTAGGTGGCCCGGGGATGCCTGGAATGAACATGTAAGCACAATAATAAAATCTTATAATATTTAGAAAAATCATTATTTCATTGTAGAAGTAACATTTGGGATACATAAGACAAGGAGAACATGCTTGGTTAAGTAACATGCTTTGATGACTAGTAACTGCAATTTAAAAAAGTGAACCCACGGCAGTTTCCTTCTTCTGCATGCATCTCTTACAGCAGGTGCTTTGGTGTCCCTGCAGGTCTGTACAAATACTCAGTTTCTTTCACAGGTCAAAGTTCAAATATTGGGAATATTTTGTCAGTATATTCACCGATGTATCCTTGGATGCATTTTTTTAAAAATACATTATTTACATTTATGTTTTTACTTTACTGATTAAATACTCTGTTAAAAATGGTCAAGTATGGTTCTTTTCTGCAAAATAAAGAAGTACTTAATTCTGGCAAAATAAAACCATTGTCTAGAACTATTTATAAAAAAAGACATATTTGAAAGAGGTGTGGATGATTCTCTCTCCGTTGCTGTTTTTATTTCCATAACTACATTTATTTCCACTCTAAACAGATAAAAGAGTATTGCAGATATGAGTGTAAGGTTTTCAGTGTTTCTATGTACTTTTGGGATTGAGTCATCATTTGGTAGAAATTGATGTAGACTGAATTCATTTAAGTTATACTGACTTATTCCAGGCATGGATTTAGTCATGGGAGTGTATTATGCCTTTTATACCTGTATACAACCCTGCTTTCTAAGTGCGTAGAAAAATTTAAGATAGAAAATTAGTGTATCTAGAGTAGACTAGATCTAAGATGAGGATTTTAGCATACCAAGTGGTCTAACATGATCAGTCTTCTGCACTTTAGATAAATCTTTTGCTTGTTTGGAATTGCTTGCATAATTAACAAGCCTGGAAAAAAAAAACAAAACAAACCAAAAACAACAACCAAAAAACCAAACAAAACAAACAAGATACTCCTTGTATTATTTAGATTTCTCTCTTAAGAGATTCACAAATGTTAAGGGCTGCTGTAGTTACCTTTAGCATACCACAGACCAGAGATTACCAAGTCATTCTTGTATCATGGCCTTACCTCTACTGAAGTCAGTACATGTTTTCATAGCCGACATTTTGCAGACCGTGTGTTGCCTTCTACAGAAGTCAACATGGTGGTCCAGCTAACAAGACACTAGAATGATTTTATAATCTAAAGCAGAGAACATGTTATTCTCTTACTCATTTTATGATTTCACCTTTCAAGAATGAGTTTTCAGCAGATTGACACAGAAAACACGGTGAAGATTTTTATATGCTTGTTATCATTATATTATACCCATTTTTACTCTTATTTTTATAGGAAACATAAATGAGAGATGATAATTTTCATTTCTAGTAAATAGTTACCAACATGAAAAAGTAAAAGAGGTAGTGAGATAGATAATACCATTAACAAGATATATAATCCACCATATCCTTAATTTCTTCTGATTTCCAGACATACCTTGAATTCTTGAAGCAAATAAAATAAAATCTTAAATTGGGTTTTACTGTATTATAGACATCATATATTGGACTCAAAACAATTCTGGGAACCTTCCCAAGGGTAGGAATTTCTTCTTTTAAATAAAATTGATATAGAAAAAAATCTAGATATTTAAAATTCAGTGTGAATATAACATAAGCAATATAAGCATTACAGAGACTGTCCTCAGGAGGAGATTGAATTATAAGAAAAGTAAATTAACTTTCTAAAATAAAATGCTGTGGAATTAAAATTGAGGATAGCTAAGATTTTTTGAGGCTACTTATTCACATAAATGAGAGTTTATATGGGAAAAATAAGAAAAGGTTCCTGAATGATGAAAAGAATTCCTGGTCTGCCAGAAAGATTGAAATACTAACATTTCCATAGTGCAGCATTTAATAATCACATTTCGTGTTGTGAAATGTAAATATACATAAGTACATAAACCAGTAAATATGTATGTAGATCATGTTCTTTTAATTCAGTGATGTGGGAAGTGTATTTTCCTTTGAACTTGTATGTCCTCTTGAAGGGAACACCATGAATTGTAGTCCTTTACTTGGGAAATTCATGGACTTTGATAGAGTATATGATCTTCTGAGAAGATGTGAAACAATAATTGTGAAGTAGGTAACTGTAGCTGTCTCCATGCATTACCAGGCACATACTCCAATCATTTAGATTTCATACAAATTCATCTTTATTCCAGGTCAGATGAAAGTGGGAACAGAACACTCACTCTGGGTTTTGAACAAGTCTCCATAGTGTCCCTTTGCTTAACACAATGCACTTCAAAGGCATAAGAGAGTCCAAAGTGCTAGTACTAGAATATTATGCCGTAGCATATCATGACCTGTGTTAACATGCTGAATCACAGACCTTTGTAAGGAGCTCTGTTATCACATGCCTGACTGTATGAATAATTTTTTTATCGTCAAGCTGAGTAATTTTTTTCATCTGTCAAATAGAATGACATATACTGATCAAAAAGAAACAGATGGGTTATGATGGTCTGGGTTTCTTTTAATTGTGTTTCCAGGACATCAGGCCTATTTCTTATGGTAAAGTACTGCTGTCAAAAGTTGTCTTTACACCAAAGTCTTAGTGGGGACTTGTGTGGTAAATTCCAGCATTGAGGATCAGAGTGCATCCAAGGATAACCTTCAGGCAATGGCAATAGACTGACCCAACTGTGTTAAATATATTCTTTGTATTATTCCTCACAATTTTTCTATTGCACTCCTAAAAAATAACAGTATAATCATTTAGTGTACTTTCATTTCTAGGAAACAGGATAGCTATATATAAGGATATTGCCTTATAGTAATGTACATTTTTCTTTACATAGCCATGTCCTTTTCTTACATGAAAATTTTTCAATGTTCTATTCAATGTATTTGGATTTTTGGCAATGTTAAAACATAAAAGTGTGTACTTTACAAAAACAGTTGCCATTTAAAATCCAGCTTTCTCTTCTCAGAAGGTGCAAAAGGAAGCTGGTTTGGTTAATATCTGCCAAATATAATTTTACATTTTTCTGGATGAAAAACTGTTCTTTATTGTCAAAAATGGCAACAACCAGTTTGAGAGCTCATAGACAGTACCTTGGTCCAGGAGCGTATACTCCATAGATACAGTACTGCTGAATAATGGCTTGCTCCATCATAACTAATGCCTATCAGACTGTGGTTTGAGACAGCTGGTACGTATCCTGTGTTCTTCTACAAAATAACTTTTAACTATAAGGTTTTAAGTTGAAACTTGGTGTTGCCATTTTTAGTAAGATTTTGTTTCTTTGTGGAAAAATGCCCTCTTTGGAACAAAATGGCAAATTTCAGGCAGCAGTGTTACATTTCAGTGACACTTTTTAATGGCCCATGTGACCTGCAGTGCTGTCTCAAGCACTAAGAATACCTCTGTCATGCCTGGAAAGAAAAGGAAACGTGATTTTGTTTTTAACTTCAATTCACAGACTTGTGTCTAGATGTTTAATTTCCTGATTGGATATATTTGCCCCTTGGGAAACTGAAATTTCAGACTTTATTTTTTCAGGTACTAGGATCAATGCTATAGGACTAACTTTTAAGGATAAAATCCAGCTGTAATTAGTCATAGCGATAGATACTTAATAAATTACTCTTTTGGAACTGGTACATTCATATTAGTGTTTTATGACTCTGTTAATGCTTCCAAGGTAAACATTTAATAAAAGGCAAAAAACCTGTTTGTATTGCATTATTTAAAAAAATGCAGGTAGCTTTTTTTTTTAATGTGTTTTATAAGCTAACAACATTTGGCTCCACAAAAACCATATGGCTTTCCAGCAGAACCTGCTACAGTGTTTTCTAAGTCTATACTTAGAACTGTTCATGGCTTCCAGTAAATTTGCAAGTTCCAACAGCTTTTTAGGTGAAAGGTGAGTTTCCCAGTCTCCTCGTAAGGCCTGTCTAAATTTCCATGTTGCTGTGCCTTAACTCAAGCACATATCTGAGTCGGCTTTTTAATATCTCTGTAGTTATAGTAATCTGCAGTGTCGTCACAGCTTTTTTCCATTTTATGCTTTTTCCTAGATATATTTGCGTTACTTAATGCCACACCAAGTGTGGGACTTCTGGTGTTGTTACAAATATTCCTGATTTCTCTACAAAAGAGGATACAATAAACCAAATATAGTGCATAGAAAAAAGAAAAAAAGGGAAAAAAAAACCCCACAACACACCTCATATTTCACCTTGTAATCATTAGCAGAGAAGTTGCTAAATATTTGACCTGAGGAGCATGAGTACTGTGAGTCCTTTTCCTTGCTTTGCCTCCCATCCTCCCATTGAATAAGGCAGAAAAGATTATCACCTACATTCCTGTTTTCTAACCTTCAAAAATATGTCAGCAGAAATAAATCAATTTTCAGTTGATTGTTTTAGCTAATTTCTTCATAGTTTCATCAACAGTGTAATATAAAAATAAGATTCAATATTAAATCCCTTGGGCAACATATCTATATCTAATAGTTTTTAGTTTTGCAAAGCTTTAAAATAGATAGAAAACTTCCTGAATGCATTAATAATGCCTGCTTTCTTCTCTATATTTAAATCACTGTCCCATGTCTGGTAAGCTGTTGTGGCTAATGTTGATTTTCTAAAGCAAATGAGGCCAAAATTCCATTTTAAATGCAAAAGTTTTGTCATCTGCTCTGCCTCTCAGTTGTCAGGGCCTTCAAAAAGTGATTTAATCTTATTTATAAATAAGTATGAGCTCTTAATGCTCCCAGAAATAATTATGGTTATTGAGGTGTTATGGCTGTAAACTTGGAGATTTTACCTCCCATATGGCTTAATTCCCTCAGGACTGTTAAAAGACGAACCCTAACCACCAAACTATTTTTCTGAGCTCAGCTAAGAGAAAGAAACTTAAAATAACACCAAGAGTTGTGAGAAGCACGTGCTCTGTCTGGGCAGTTTTTCCTTTTTTCCTTTCCCCATTCCCTTCTACTTTTAGTGCCCCTCTGATGTCTCCTCAGAGTTGGCTTTATCAGACAGATCTGCCTGCGGAACACTCTTGTCCCTCCTGCTGGGGAGCTGCCACTTAATCATGTGCACACCATTTGGGCCAAGCATAGTGAGAATGTCTGAAAAGTTTCAAATTTCCATTTTGCCTGCTGTATGATAACTTTCATGCTTCTGTAACTTCTGCGGAGATAAGGCAGCCTTAGTCAAGTAGCAAACTGTCTGTAGATACATGCCTAAACATATATTTAAAGTGGATGTATAAAATGGCATGTTTTCAATTTTTAATACATGAGATTTATTATTATTATTATTATCAGATACAGGTTATAGCAACATATTTTCTGTGGCTTGATCTTTTTTTAAAAAAAGGGTTTTTCAAAAACGTTTGTAAGGTACTAGCATCACTCTCACTAATGAAACCTTACTATACTTACAGTAATCTAGATCCATACTCAGTAAATGCCTGCATCCTCAATTCTTCAGAAAGGTATTTGTTTATACAAGCAAAAGTACTCTTTCTGTGACTGAAATTACACTTACATTTTTAGTACCTTTCGGCTTTTGTCTGTACTGTGACTAGACTTCCGTGGAACATGTGATAACTTCCTCCAAATATTTTTTAAAAGGTTATCAGAGTACAAGGTAAAACACTCCTCATGAAAACCTAAAGAATTTGGGAACTTGTGAACTCTGGGAACTCTGCAAAACTTGGGAACTCTGCAAAACCTCTGTGTCACATTAAAATGCTGCATCTTAGTAACATGGTGTTAATTTCTCTGCAAATGGAAGGAAAGCACTTCAAGGGACATAAATTTGCAATATCTTTCAACTTATTCCATTGAGAATATAAAGGGGGAACGTCTGACACTTCCTAAATTTGCAAGTGTTTGGGACCAATGCAAAACTGTGCCTCTGGCAATGCAGCTACTGGGGAAGAAATCTCCTTATGGTGCCATTCTGGCAGGTCCTGACCTGAAGAGTACAGAATTACCAGAATTAGTAAGGACCTAGAGTGTCTTAAATGTGAGTGGCAGGGTTGTAGTAATAAACAAATAATCTTTAATCAACTTATGAACTGATTAAATGATAATGGTAGTGCAACGAGAATCTTGCTATAGCATTGTAACTTGGTGTAGTTATGGTTTATAAACACATATTAACTTAAAAAAGCCATCTCCTTCCTTGCTCTGGAAACAGATTACTTTGAATTGCTTCCTCAGAGCTGGTCAGAAGATGGGGATTGTTCTGTATCTCATCTTTCATCTTTTGTTACAGGGGTCCTGGGGGTGGTAGACCTTGGCCAAATCCAACTAATGCCAATTCTGTAAGTAAATATTTAAAATACATTATACATTATCTTATATTTAGGGAAGTATTTCTCATAAATACACCAGAAAGAAAATTCCACATCATTCAACAAAGAATACTGCATGTTTTGTATTTTTCCCTGTAACCCTGATGCCGAGCAGGTGCAGTGAGGAGCACATCTGAACAGAGAGCTCACTGACCTGCAAATATCCAAGCTCTCTTCATAATCACACAACAGCTCTGCATCTTAACACCAGTTACAGCACTTCCATAACACAAAAGTTATTCTGGGGTGTATTTAAAATACATTTTAGCTTCCTTTAGCGCAAGTAAAATGAGTTAGGTCAATACTATCTGGCCAGCAATCTCTACAGAAATCACAGCTCGTTAAGATATGGCTTAATGTGTGCTCACATATTTTACATAACAAAAGCACATTTGCTGCTATTAGCTAGGGAATATGGAATCATAAGCAATTGCTTGCAAGACTTCTGACATTTTTACATGCTTTTTGTAAAAATCACTGGACTCAAATTTCATTGCAACAACTACAAAATGAGGTAGTCTAATAGCAGCTTGAAGAAAGAGGAGGTCAGGGAGGCATCCCACATGAACCACAGTGTCTGGTATTTCTGAAGAAAACACAAAGGTAAAGTTTTCATTTTCATTCCGTGATCATACATCATTAGTATAAAAATGTGTCCTTTTTTAGCACTTGCAGTTGGGTAAAATGGGTCTGGCTTAACACACTAGCCTGGTTCTTTCTTTTGTTGTCAGTTCTCATTTTTTAATTCTGCTAATGACAGTCAGGGAAAAAAAGAAAAAAAAGAGCTGAAACTCCTCCTCAGTTTTCTTTTGCATGTATCCAACTAAAATGGATGTTAGGATATTTTTCAGTTGACAGCTGAAAGATTTTTATTCTATTGAGATGTCCAGTAATAGATATATTTGTAAAAATGATTTTGCTGACAAGTTGTCTACAACCTCATAAAGCATATTGCCTTAATAATCGTACATTTTAACCTTTTACTAGACTTGCAGATATTTACAGATCTTAATCTGGCTCCCACAATAAGAAGACTCTTGTAGTAGATGCAAGAACTGAATTCTTGCTAGACCTTGTAACTGGTATCTTAAAAAAATTATGCTGGCTGTTACAAATGCATTCCTCACTTATGAAACAATGGAGAGCAGATACCAGATCTCAGCCTATGGACATTTAAGTGTCTGAATTATGTAATTCATATTAATTTCATTAGAGTCACTACAAGAGCACGGTAATCAAATATTTTACTGTGAAGTATTGGGTATTGAATTTGTTTTGTGTCTATATTGCTGCTTTCGCACTTGAGAATACTTGCAACGACAAGGAGAGGTACTTGTTTTGTCAACAGTAGCTTTTTCCTGTACTACTTAACTGTGTCTTGAAAAAAATTAAACAAATAAGCATTAATCTACAGCTGTACATAAATGCATGTATGGACTCCATCTTACTGCAGAAAAAAATTACTGTATCATTTCTGTTGATATTACAGATACCTTATTCTTCAGCATCCCCTGGGAACTATGTAGTAAGTACACTTGTGTGTGTGTGCTGATTAGAATAGATGTTACATTTTATTTAGGCAAAGAAATAGCTGTCCAGATGTTAAGAAGAACCCTTGTGTATTGGTTGAGAACTGCACAAGTGATCTGCACTTAGTTTTTTTTCTTGCTATCGATGGTGCATATGTTGATGTTCTTAACTGGAATTGTTAGTCTGGTCAGTATTGCCCTGAGTGTTGTTTTATTTCCGTAAACATTTGTATAAACAACGCAATACATTGTCTTCAATAATAAAGGACAAAAAAGCACCAGCTTTCTCAGTAACACGATATTGTGTATGAGTCTCTGAACTTCAGAAAAAAAATCATTTTAAGAATTAGAACAAGCTTTTCTCTCCCCAAAAATACACAAATCAGCCCTTATAGCTAACATTTTAAGGGAAATTTATATTCTTATAATTGCCTTCTGAAGATTTGAAAATTCTTTTTTTCTCCATAGTTTGTTATGCTTTCATTTTACAGACAGTGTCTTGATTTATTATGAATTAGCTGGTATCATTTTTTTTCTTAGTCTGTACTTTCAAATGATATAGTTAAAACTTTGTAATAGGCCCAGCTTTGATCTGTCATTCAAAAGAACACAAAATGTCTTAACCCTCTCTCTGAAATTTAACAAATGCACTTTAGCTATCAACAGAATGGTTTTTATTGGAGTATATACTGCTGGTTTTTGTCTCTATCCTGAGAGATTAACTTTGTTTATCCTTTTAGGCTCTTTATTGTTGTTGTTACCGTTGTACTTGGATTATTTATACTTCTGATGTACTCTTCTAAGGCATATTGTTTCATCTATTTTTATCACATGCTTAGTACTGGTGTCACAGGGAAACGAGGGAGAATTTATATATATATATATATATATATATATATATATATATATATATATATAAATAAATATATATATATGTTGGATCCCAAATTTCTGTTGGTTGGTCATGTTTCAGTAGACCTTTCTCTTGATATTTCATGTTTTATCACCTGAAGATTAGACAGCTGCAGGGCATTGACTTTAACCAGAATAAAACCTGAAGCTAATTCAGAATATGGAAATAGCAGGTCCTTCACCATGAGAACATTATACCAGTCTATTTTCATATGTTTGTGCTGCTTATAGGTTTATTTTACTTTCAATTCTTGTAAGAGATATGATCCTGCAGAGCTGAAGGATGAGTTCAAGAATGAGTATGTTTTGTTTAGACAAAAGCAGTTTCTTTTGTCCTTTATTTAGACAATTAGCTCTGAAAAAGGTTATGATTCTCATAAGTGTCCATAACCATAGTATTCATTTTGCCATATGTTTAGTGGAAACAGTCCAAGTCTGCTGATCTCCAAACCAGTTCTTTTAATACAGAACTTTGTAAATTTCTCTCTATTGAGAAGAGGTTTCATTGGGTTTGCTCAAGACAATACTGATCAGTTATTGTTGCAGATTTTGAAGATCTTTTTTTTTCATATTTGAGTTCATATTCTCATTTTTTAGAAGTATGAAGTCCTGAGAAAAGTAGAAAATAAGATACTATATAAAGTTACTTTAAAGAAACAAATCTAAGAAAAATGCAAGTTGTAGAAGCAGACTCTGTTGGTTTAACTCACATCAAACCAAAGGTCAGCTTGGATAAATCACTTGGAGAAGAGAGGGCATGGCCGTATTTCAGTGGATAGGTAGAGGAGGAGTAAGAGTAAAGAGGTGATTTTACTTCTTTGAGTTACAGTGATGAGACTGATGCTGGAACATTGCATCTAATTGGCAACATTGAAGGGAAATAAAAAGATCTGCAAAGATGCAAGAATGAGACACACAAAAGATTGAAGTATAGGAGAAACTGCCTGAGCCTTGGTTCAGATGTGCTCTCTGAACTCCAGCTGTGCTAGTGCGAAAGGTTTCTGCCTGATTCCTTGTCCCCACTCTGCTGCTGAAGGTTACCACTCCTTCAGGTCTGCCACTGGAGTTCCCTGGATGAGTGACCCTCTTCATCCAAAATAACTGAAGTTGATTTGAGGCATTTAAAGAACCAGGTCCTTGCTGAAGCACTTGAGTTGACCCAAAATAAGTGGAGGGACACTCACAGTGGGAGCTCCAAACAGAGCTGAGGCTGCTGCTAGCAGAGGAAGTGGTGAAGCAGCTGAGATGGGCCAAGGGTTGAAATCTTCTGCCAGCATAAATGCTTGCACAGTGCATGTCTTGTCTGATGCTGAGAGAGTAGTCTTGCTTCAGAAAGTCTCATCACTTTTGGAAAAGGAGTGCATGAACTCCAGCTATACAAACAGCTAAATAATCAAAACTGAGGAGCAGTAGTCCAAGAGAGCAAGTATTTGAGGACATGTGGAATAGAGAGCTCTTAAAGCAGCCTTTTAGCCAAAGGATTTGTGATCTGGAACCACATGCTTTGAGAGCTTAATGCGGTCAGTTTGAAAAATAATTCTATTACATATTAATATATTGTCAGAGTTGAAAATAGTTGATACCAAAAGACTTTCTAAGAGAAATATACAAACAATGAGAATAAATACAAAATGAAAATTAGATGTGAAAGTTAGTAGTGAAGATAAGTAACTTTTCTAATAAATGACCAGTCAGTGGTTTCTACATCTCTTTAAATGATGCTGAAAAATGCATATAAACCTAAAAAAATCAAGTTACTGAGCTTAGTGCACAAGTACGTGGATAAAAGGTCATAGCCTGTGATGCCTAGGAGGTCATGTATGGGGTTCAAATGTCCCTTTGAATTTGGAGTCTGTAGCTCTGCAGCAGCAATGGGGGAATTTCTCATTGCTGAGGGTTGAATAGGCCTTTCACACAGTTTTGGGAAGCCCAATCTTAATACATTTAATTTCTGATTCAGTTGTAATTGGGGGGAGGGAAGCTATGACATGAAGTCGTGATTATGCCTTGATTTTTATACGCTGCTCTGTGGGTTTCACGGTGGAGCAAGCCTTTGTTCTTGCACACTTCATGAAAGGTGCTCAGTGACCTTGCTTAGTTCACAAACAAGAGGAAGCACAAAATCAAGAACTGGTAGGTGGGGTTACATAATAGGTCATAGAGGTATATATGTTGACTGACTGCAGGGATGTGCTGCTGATTCTGGGTAAAAAATTACTGTTTCATCTACAATTAACTGTGAGTTGATCACTGGCTAGCAGACACAGAGATACTTCCCACTGAAAGTATTTTATGTGTACAAGCCCACAAAGGAGCAGTATCAATCTGAAAAGCTGATACATTACTGAGTCTGTCTGAAAATCCTGTATTCTAGAATGTTACTGCTAGATGTTTTGTAAGAAATGTTATTTTAAGTAGGCCATTGAGAAACAGGGTCTGTTGTTCTAAATGCAAGACTTCTCTGCGTCATTCCAAAATACCTGAGTGAATTATAGCAGATCTCAGCAATGCCCTTGTAAGCAGACAGGAACAATCAAACCTTTATACTCAGTGCTGCTGAAAAAAATGTTTGTCTGGAACAGTATTTTAAAATGTAAGAAAATTTTAAAATATAAGAAAATATATAACAATATAGTAAGAGTCATATGGCAATTAAAATAATCATTGTTAGCAATCTGTATTTTATATAATGGAAAGTCAATATTTACTGACTTTTACTGACAGAGACATTTTTACAAACTGGAAGTTGGTAGTTTTTCATGTTACTTAAAAATATTTGTGGATGTGGAAAACATAGGAAGGAAGAAGTTACAATTCTGTTTCTACTGAACTATTTAGACATTTAGAATAAAATTCATGGAGAAGTTTTTTAAGCACTTTAAAAAGCTTGTGTAACAGCCAGAGCAGTTTGTGTACAGTTCTTACTCATAAACAGATTTGTAAACCAGAAATACCTGAAACTAAGAAAACATGTTTCTTGGTGATTTTGGTGGGGCTTTTTTTGGTTTTATCTTTGATTTAGCAGTCTAGGCACATGATATGACTGTACCCAGCATTATCCTGCCCTTTTCAATTCATTCGTTATTATTTGAGAAGAAATTATGGATACAGATGTTATTTTTAAAATTGTAGGATATTATACAGACAGAATTAAGGTGCCTATTGCATTAAGATACCAAGACTGCTTAAAAAAGAAAGCTTTCTTAAGGTGATTAGGCTCTTCTGTCCCCATAGGACACCCCATTGTATCGTGCTTAGCAAACATTGTTTACTTGACTATTGACTGTACAGATTACAACAAAACAGAAATGCCAGCTGAAAAAACAGTGGTAATGAAGTAGGTTGAGGTATTAAATATAATTGTATTAGGCCATGCTCCAAGTATTTCTCTTGTCTGACTCACAGCATGACACAGAGTTATTGACTAATGGATCTTTCAGGTTTGTATACCCACATACAGCAGAAGTCTGTGCCAGAGCTCACTGACCAGTTACCTTGTCTTAACCTGTGATGAGCTGTTTCACTAGATTATCAGAAAATCTGTGTGTTTTTACCAGAGTAACTCATGATAGTCATGATCCTTTTTTTTTTTTCATTTATACTGTGTTCTTTTTTACTGCAGTATTTTTTCCCTTTCATGCTAACTGACATTTTCTGCTCTCTCTAGGGACCTCCGGGAGGTGGAGGGCCACCAGGAACACCTATCATGCCTAGTCCTGCAGGTACTGAAATATGTTCAGAAATAATGAAAGATAATTTAAAAGGATTTTTAGGAAGTACATAAATTATTTTTCAGACTTTGATTTTGATAATCAGATAATGATAAATTATTGCTTTTATACTTTCTGTATCAGGTTTTTTCCTACACTTTCACTTTCTTTCTCTCCCTGCTATGATGCAGAGATACAAAGCATTGTATCTCTGCAGTTCAGAGTAATTAATTTCTCTGGCTTTTGAGCCCATCTTTTCTTGCACCATTTCAGCAATACCAAGTTAAAAACAAAAGAAGATGCAGGCTCTGTTTGCTTTTACTAATATTCTTTGGGACAATTCCACCAGTTTGGAAATCAGGAGATTGCCAGATCTTGTGAAACTTCCCTAAAGTATCCTATGGGATAGACCTGTCAACATGTGGCTCTTGAGTGATGTGCTGCATCCTGTGGCTATGTCCTCTGACTGACAGCAGGGTCATGCTGGACAGGTTGCTCTCTTCTGTCTTGTAATGGAGGAGTAAGGCCCGAGAGGAGCCATCGTCATGTCCTACCCGTGATCTGTTCCCAGAACTTCAACTGCCCCATTGTTTCCCTAAGTAACATGGTCTGTATCTTGCAATTCAGACCATATAGAGATTTTGGCCATGCAAAAGATTAGCCACATTCCTACTAAGGTTTGAAGAAATGAGGGGTACGATGGGAGGGTTCGGGAAGGTTAGCTAGCTTCCTGAGGCTTGAAGGTGGTCAACTAGATGTAAGTATTTCTCTCCATTGATGTTCTGCAAAGATTCAGATATGAAGGTGGAACCGTAGAATGCAGAGGATGCTGTCCCCTCCCATGGACATCATCAGAAATCCGACAGAATGAAACTAACTACATCTTGTGTAACCCAGTATTCAATAGCTACTCCTTTTGGCCAATATCTGCCTTTGTAGCTCGCTTTCACCAGCTAAGAGGGATGCTGTTCCCTCAGCATCCTCAGTCCTTATGTCCCACATGTTCTTGCCATCCTCTACGCACAAGAGGGTCGGGAAGTTTCCTAACTAGCTATGAAAACTCCTTGCACCAATATGATACCTTCAGTAAATATAATTCCAGGTCTTTAAAAAAATGCAACCTAAGATAAAGCATAGGACTCCCTTGTTCATATTACTAGTGCAAAAGATAATCAGTGCAAGCTGGCATTTAAAATTTAAGAGTCTCTTTTAACATAAAACAAACTTATGCATAGCCTGCAGTTTTAAAAATAGTCAGCACTGCAGTTATGGCACATGTTAGGCTGTCTGTGTGCAGCTCAAATAAAGCTTCTGCTGCCAGTTGTTCTGATTTTCAGTTAGAGACTCAAAAGATGTTTTAGGCTCTGATTTCCAAAGTGTGAAAACACTTAGAAATCGGCCACCTGGGAATTTTGCAAAGGTATTTACTTGCCTCTGAGACAAACCAGCTCTGAGGGCTCCCATGGCCCAACCAGCCTGTATGTATTTTTACATGAGCCAGCAGAACATGGGGTGAGCCAGGGAAGTATGTTGCAAAAGGATCTGTTGGTTGAAGAACTTTTTGCCTACCTCATTGAATGCTAAAAATAACTGTTTATATGCTAATTTTACTTTGATAACTTTAGACTAAGAGGTTTTTGTTCCCCCTCTTCTTCAAACAGCATATTTGAATGTTCTGGTGATACATAGTGCTCTGTATATAATGGAATTATTTGCTCACCCAGGTGAATTAATGCTTAGAAAATTGTCTCAGAAAGATTGAGGAATAGATAAAACTCTTGATTTTAACTTCCCAGTGTACATACAAATACAATTTTGCAGGAGATCAGGCTGCATTCCCAGTTCCAACATATTTTAATGGTTTCAGCTTTCTCACTTTCACTATTTCTAACTCAGAATTTCCCCATCACCTTGTCTTGGAGTAGGAATTACAGCTCAGCAGTGGTTTTTATCTGTGTTGTTAATCTCAAGACTGGTTCAAAGAGGTGGAATGGTCTTTTGGAGGATCTAGGTACAAAGTACTAAACTATACTTTATTATTTTTGCAGATACTGATTTTCCAGAGCTGCCAATACTTTTTTTAATCATGCCGTCCCCTTAGGCTTGCATTTAGACTTTCCTTAGGTTGTTCTCCTCTCAGTAAACTTTTTCATTACATGGCCTGTCTCTTGCCGAGTTCCCTTGAGAAAGGTTTTTGCCCAATTTGTTTACTACCTGCTGCATTTTTTGCCTTCTCTTTCATACAAATACTGATGAAGGGTTGTTAAGATTTTGTGTGTATTAGCAGCAGGATAAGCTAGAGATCAGAATGAATAATTTGTATCTACTGATGGTTCTTAGACTGGTTTCTTAAGTTCAACTTAAGTTCAACCGGAAGAGTTTTCTGGGTTGATTCCTGTATTTCAACTCTGGAGGTGCTCCACCTGAAAGTTCATGTGCATCAGTTGCAGGAAAAATACTGAGAAACAATATAGCTGCGTCAGCGTTTGGCAAGGCCAAGTGAAACTCTTGGCAGAATTTACTAGCTTAAGCACCATGCTGTGCCAGGATGGTTTTGTTGGTGTTGGATTCAGGGTTTTTTTGAAGTATTGCACCACACTGTACCGTGAAGATATATCAGCTAAAGCTGTCCTTGGAGTGAGGATCTTTGGACAATGTTCCACTGGGTATATATATATATATATATCCAAAATCAAATAGACTGACATGGATAAGAATAAAAAACCTTCATGTGCTATACTAACTTGCAGGCCATATAATGAGAAGCTCTTCATCATTTATTAATAGATGGAAAACAAATTACAGGAAGTATTGATAAGAAAGAAAGTCCTGTTTTATAGAGAATATTGAAGATGGGTGAAGTAATTTGGAACTCCAGGAAAAAGGGTTTATGGAATTAAATAGTTACAGATACTTGGTGATTTATAAACCTTTTAACAGTCATGCATAAAACTGGAGTCTAGAAGTAGTCACTTAGGGACCATTGCAATTATTTCTTTTCATAGCTCTGTTGTGTGGTAGCAATAGATAGAAAGGGAATGAAATCTATTATATTACCACTGTGTATCAGTGATTCAGGCACAGAAATAATATGAACAAAATGACAGGAAGTGTATTAGATGAGTAGTTTTATTGAAAGGTATATATTAGCACTTAAAATAATCTCTTATTGCAGATTCAACCAACTCTGGAGACAACATGTACACTTTAATGAATGCAGTACCACCTGGACCCAACAGACCTAATGTAAATATGAATCTAGTTATATACTTTTTTGAATTATACAGCCTTTTTTATCCAAACACTTATGTTTCCATCACATATCATTAACACTAAGTTTTTCATTTCTATGGGTGACACTTCAGTTGCTTCCCCCCGACCACATGCATTTTAATGTTTCCCAAATCAATCATGCCAATACATGCAAAATAATGATTGGAGTATATTGTTCTACATGGGAAAGACCTTAGAGGCTTCTGCATGTGGATCTTGGGGACAATATAGTTTGTCACACTGTGGTGCAGTAGACTTCTGTGTGATAAGATGTCATCCTAGGAGCTGCCACTAAGCATTAGTTTCTGCAGGATTCATACTTTTGTTATAAAAAATTACCTACCTTTGAAAAGGGATGAGAAGATTGCAGTATTATGTTGCCCTGATGTTCTATAAAAAAGGATCAAATTAATGCCTCTGAGAGGAAATAAACTTCCCTGTTTAACTAAATGAGATGTTAAGAATGAAACCTGTTGATAGCATTTAAGTGTTTGCCTAATGAACTAGTTAACTTTTTGACTGTTTTAGTCTAAATTTCAGCAGTTCTAGAGCTGACAAAAGTCTGGATTCTTAGGTAGAACTTGTTTCTTCTGACCTTTCTCCATGCCTTCAGTTTTATTGTATTTCTTTGATTACAACCATATATCATTTAATCACGATCCATATTAAGGGCCTTTTGAAGAAAAGGCCAGTAGAACTTAAAAATATAGATAGTTAGATATTGATAAATCATTATATGGTGAATTTTAGAAATTTTTCTGTAATGTTAATGTCTTTAAGTTTTTGAAGAACTAAATTTAAGGCTAATAGGTGAAATTGTACAGAAACTGCTCATGCTGCAAAGGTAATGCGGAGTAGCCTGACTGTCAGTATGGATGCGGTGGGGTTGGAAAAATGTTAATTAATCACTTACTCATTGAAGAGAAACATAAACCTGCCCGTAACTTCAGTGGAGTAGAGCTCGGTCAGTACTAGCAAGTTTGAAAGTCATACACAAACTGTTGAAGTAAATTACAAATTATTCCTAAATTATATTCCAGTTTATAGAGGCGAGCGTTTCCAAAAATCATGAAGGTAGCATTGGAAAAAGTGAACAAAAGCAATGATATTTTTGTAGTCTTCTCATGAAAGACTTTCACTTGATTTGTGCATTCAGAGCTGGGACTGTGCATTTTTCCTTTTTTTTTTTTTTTTTTTTTTTTTGGAATATTTTCTTTTTACTAGATTGTCTACAAAAACTTGTACAGTAATACCAGTTTTTAATGTCTGATCCTTTCGTAGTTTCCAATGGGGCCAGGGTCAGATGGACCTATGAGTGGACTGGGTGGAATGGATTCACATCATATGAATGGATCATTAGGTAATTGTAGTAACTATTATGAACACTGTGAATTTTCAATGACTAGTGCCATTTTCCATAACCAGTTATTTGAATTATGTGGAAGACTGTATGTAATAATCTTTTAAAAACTAAAAAAGCTGTATATGCCTCAATAAGAAGTATTAAGATACTTTTTAAGCATATGAGTTGGCATACATCATGCACAACTGGAAGAAGTATTTTATTTACATAAGAGAGTATAGTTTTACTCCAGCTGATGAAAACCTGCCTAAAGGATACCATCACAGTGATGCAGAGGTGAAGACTTAAGAGCCATTTTTATTTACCTCTCTTCCTCTTTGAAAATCTTGAGAAGGTGTCATTATGACATGCTGGTGCACGCTTACATCAATTATCTGGAAGTAAGTTATTACATATTTTGAAGCGTGTGTTAAGGTGGTTTTATCCCAACACTTCGATATCCTTATTGGTTCTATACTTAAGCCATATGTCTGTTAGATGTGAGTATTCTTCCTCCATCCCCATTAGCAGCTTCAGACAGATGTCAATTTTATTGCCCCTAAAAGAACATGAATTCTTGTCAGGGCGTGCAGAGGCAGGACGAACGGCGTACTGCTTGACTTTTGACACTATGATTTTTTGAAGGACTCATATTTAGATGAGAAGCCTTGCATAACTCTGCAAAACCACAGACTGCTTTATCTCTTGACCATCCCAGCAAACTCTTTCCTCTTACTTTTTGCTGGAAACATGATACTCTTGAATTTAAGAAACAAGCTACAGATAAATAAATTGCATTTATGCCTTCTTCTTCCATACCCACAAGGTCAATAAATACCTTGGTTTTATTTCTGCTCATACCCTAACACTGGGCCAGTAGAGCTCTGAATACAGTTCTTGCTTTGTACTTCTCACTGCTATCTGCATGAAGGGTTGTCAGTCATGCAGGTAACAACAGGGGGGAAGGTCAGGCTGCAAAGTCTCTTCTTCTTCTTCTATCCCCCTGGTCCACCAGGAAGGTTCTCCTCTACATCTGGGATGGATGGCCTGATGTCCACAGGGGCACCAGCAACACCCTGCTGAGCAGTGCTTTCCTTTATGGGGAGAAAACCAAGCAAGCTGAATACAGGTCAGGCAGGCAGAAGCCAAGCTGCCAGTGTTCCCCTTGCTTCTATCCCCAGAGAAAATCTCTGTCACCTTCCCCAGCACAGGCACGTACAAACCTAAACTCCATACCATTTAAGTCCATACTACCATGGTGGGTGGAAATCCGTCACTTGTAGCCTATAAGTTGGAGCTTATGAGACAGGAGGCATAAGCAGATAAGACAAAGGGAGAAATTCAAAGAGTCTGTGACAAGATGAGAAAAAACTAAGCCATCGAACCTCATTTAGCAGGCACGTTCTGACTGATTAAAATTCAGCAGTAGGCATCTATTTCCTAATAAAATTATCTTTTTTTCTAGGAAAGCATGTCCCTGAAATTCCTAGATTACTTTGCATAGGGACACCTTGTGATTTTACAGCCTTTCTTTACATATTACAGTCCTAAAATGGATTGTTGTTTTAATTAATAATGATACACATTACATTCAAATAAATGAAAAACTGTGTAAAATGTAATACGCATCTTTCTTCTGTCACTTTCTATAGCCTGAGAAATAGTTCCTAGCTAAAAGAAGAAATTAAATTGAAACAGTTGTGGAAGGATTTTATGTGTACCAAGCATTTGGTCAGTTATTTTCTCTAGTGAAAGCAATAAAGTGCTTAGTCAATTTAATGATAACTGCTTCCTGGGGGTAAGTTCATACATAAACTGAAACCTGAGTTCTTTAATGGGAGATATGCTGCATTCATTTCCACGCAGCAGTAGGCAGCTGTGTCTCATAATCAGGTGGATTAATTGGTCAAGATCTATCTTGAACTTTTCCAACTTCTGTGACCACAACCTTTCTGTTGGATATCTGTTCATAGCTCTGATGGTTAGAAGTCTCTTCCTGGTTTCCGCCAAAATTTATCCTTTGGGCCATGACAAAATAACTCTTTGCAACATTTATGTATCTGATGTATTTATAGAGAGAAATCATATTCCTTCTCAGCCTTAATTTGCCTGGCTAAGTATAGTAAGCTATTTCAGTCTCCTCCCACAACTCCATTTTCTTGTTTTTCTCAGATACTCTTCTAGTTTTGTGTTCAGTATTCTTCTAGAATTTTTCTTTCCCGAAAATAGGTGACCAGAGTTGTTTACTGGAGCTGCTAAAAATGATTTTCTTGATACATCCATCCTAAAGTTGTATTTCCTTTATTCTTGCTTTTACTGAAGTGAGAGCTATGACATGTGAAAAAAATTCTTTTCGATAGTCTTGGCACTCATTATATTTAATTTTATTTGGTTTCTGGTCCTCATGATCATCTGCTTTCTTCTGAAAGATACTGTCATCATCAGTATTTGTAATGCATCAAAAATTGATGTCATTTCAGCCAATTTCAGTAGTAAGCATCTGTTTCTGGGAGAAGAAACATTAATAACCCCCCTCCCAGCTAACCTTAGTGATAATAGTGTTTGGGGTTTTTTTTCTCAGGAGTATCAACTTTTACTAGTTAGCCATGATTTTGCTTTTTTTTGCTTAAGGTGAAGCAACATTTCCCATAGGTGGATGAACCCCAAATTAATGGCAGTACCTGTACCCTACCGTGGTTAAGAGGACAGGGAGGTTGGACATACAGTTTCTTAAGTTGTGCTGTGCTGCCTCATCCTGAAAGTCTGCCATCCAAATAACCGATACAGATCAGAAGTGTGTCCGTCATTATTTTCTTGCTTTTTGTACCAGCTGTGTACACAGAGAAAAGACTAACATTGTTCAGTACTGATTGTAAACTTTTGCTAAGAGAGACTGGGAAGGAAGTGAGATGTTGTATGGTTGGTTATGTTTGAAAATATTGCTGTTATATATTTACTGTGAAAAAAATATCATGGGTTAACTTCAGCTCAAAACTAACTGAATACTTGTCTATTTTAATTTAAGGCTCAGGAGACATGGACAGTATTTCCAAAGTGAGTATCTGATCAAATATTTGGAATTTTTATAATGTTTCACTCTAAACATATCTTCTTTCTCGCTATTACAACGCTTTTTGTTACATATCTACATTTTCTGCTTGTCAACTCTTTGGAGGCTGTGAAGACAGAATTAGTATTAATTGAAAATTTAAAACCAGTATAATCAATAGAAGTAGACTTATTCCTTACTGCATAATGATGTGTATTAATGAATGTCATTAATTATATCCAGTTCATAATCTGATTGATCATGTTATAATCTTCCATACTGTTAAGACAAATGAATATAGTTCTAATAATCAATTCTAGTTAAATATAAATTTGAGAAAATGTCATTAGGATGTTACATTTGTGCACTGCATGATTGCTCTGTAAGGCAATGTTAATATCTTAATCATTAGTATAAGTTCCTAAAAGCTAGATTAAGAGGTCGTTTCAGAAGAAGCACTATTTTGGTATCACAACCATTAAATAGTTGGAAATGAATGAGAATTTAACCTGTAGGGATTTTGCATCTACGAAAATAATACTGTGCTTGAATGTGTCACTTCTTCCATAAAAATAGAACTACTACATATGTGGTCATCATTAATTTAGGAATTAATGATCTTATTTGGTATTAATAAAGTGGCATATATCAGTACCCTGCAGAACACTATGTTTTGTACTCAGCGTTTTGAGGTGTAACTGACTGGAAGTAATAAATGTATCACTACAACAATCTCCTTGCACTTTTGTACATTTGATCTGTAAGTGCAGAAATTGATAAAGCAATTGTTTCAGTTAAAATCTTACCATTTATTCGTTTGTAGCAAAATTCTTAACAATCTTCCAAGAAAGGAGTGTAAGCTTGTTTTGGGGCATATCAGCTGCCAGTATATTTCGGTTGCCCAAGGACGGAGTACCACGGTGCTGTCACTAGATCTCCCCCAGTGCAGACTTGGCCATTGCAGATCTACATAAGGCTGCTCTGCACGTGCTCCAGTCACGCTAGGGACCTTGTTGTAGGTCTGTCCTCAGGAGCTATGATGAGATGCCAACATGTAGGGGACAAAATGCTCACCTAAATTCCCATGGGTGAACACAGAAGTTGTAGTGTGAGTTTTTTGAAAATATACTTCCAGGTGTTCAAAAGGCAGGAATCATTCTTCATTTATGATGCATATTTATATATCCAAAAAGGAGGACAAGAAGCCTGTATAGTTCCCTAGTTTGTGGTCTTCTGGTGGTGTGGTATGGGAGAGGGGTAGCCTGTAAAATGTGCTTAGCATGTGTCTTCCCTGGAGAGGAGGACCTCAGCAATATGTGTCCAAGGCCATTGCTGCTCCTGTGAGGGAGCAGCATCTACAGCAGTCCTATATTTTTGGACTTGTTTGAGATCTATAACATTTTTAGGCTCTCCGAAGAGTAAAAATGATGGATTGAAATGACCACGTTGCTTTTGTTGTACTGTGCTTAGATGTGCAGGGATAGATTCAATAAAAGCCTCCATTGAGATAATAAGTGTACAGCACTTTTTAAATCAATGTCTGTATTTTTTCTTCAGTATTTTTATTGCAAACTGCAATATTTTTTAAGGAAAAAACCAAAAACATTTCCATTAGTTTACCATGGGATTATTTTTAAAATCCTTTATTCAACTCGCTGATATTAAGTATCACTATATATGTGCTAATACAAGTATCAGGAGCTCTGAAAACTTGCTGGCATCCAAAAATTCACCTGGAAGTCTTGTAATCTGTTAACTTTAATAGATAACTCATGGAAATCACATTTGATGCAAGTCTTTTTCAAATGACTACAAGAAAAATGCTGCTTACTTTGGCAGTAACAGAGTTGTCCTGTTAAGCCACTATGTCCTTTTGGGGTAGCACTGCCCAGTATGCAGCCTTTACTGACAGCAGTGAAAGTGTGGGGGTAGCAGTGGTAATTTCTTGTTGTAATAAGGTAGGTAGTAGTACCTAATGCTTTCGAAACTTGAATGCAAAAGTTATGCTTGCAAGGAAGAGTAGATTTCTGTGGTTGATACATGCAAAATTATTATGTGGCTGCCTTCCAATTTTGTACACAGTTACCAGGATTGTTCTTGCTGAGGCAACAGTCACCTTGCATACGTCACCAGCTCGTCTTCCAGTTGGCTTCTTCACAGTTTTCAGTGACGGAAATTGTTCACTGAAGTTAATACAGTTTGGGGTGGGATGGTCAAGTCCAGTCACAGGACTTCAGTAGAGTAAAATGCATACTAGAGGACATGGTTATCTGTTCGCAGAAGACATAGAAAATTAGTCCAGTTTTGGTAGAATTGGTACAGCTCACAGAATTCAGAGCTACATTTTCTAAAGAAGATTTTAATTTAATTGGCTGAATGGCAAAACATTAAGTTTTTATGAAGTAGATTGAGATGAAGTAAATGAACTGAAATTATGCATATTAAATAAACATTAATAACCAGTGTTTCTTGCAGTGCCCATAGAATCTGAGCAGGCATCAAAGATATACTTGCTTTGGAAAAACTCAGCTAGTGCTACATGCTAGACCCCATACTGGCTATAAAAGCAGCCATGAGGAGCTGCTATAAAAGTGTTTATGTCAGGAATTTGAACCTTTGGGGCTGGCGTACCATTGCAATTGCAGAATTTCAAAGCTTTGTGCTAGGCAGAGCAAGATAAAATAGGGGTAAATCCCCCAGGAACAAACAAAAGTGCAGGAGCATCATATAAAATAAATGTGGCAAGGCCTTAGTGGGTTTTAAACTTTATATTCACAGATTTTTAAGGCCAGAAGGGACTGATACGATTCTGTAGTATGACCTCCTGCACAACACAGGCAACAGGACTTCCCTGAATTAATTCCTGCTTTAGGTACAGTAGCTGTGGTTGAACTAAAGCAGTATGTATCAGCCTTTTTCAGACTGTGAATCCCTAAATAAATATTTGCTATACTAACTTTCCTGAATAACACATTTACTGTCTGATGTTAATCAACTAGTTAGGCTTTTGTATTTGATGGACATGTTGTCCAGTGATTCCTGGAGATCTGGGGATCGCAGTTTGAAAAGCAGTGAACTAGACTGAAGAAAGCAAAAGGGGTAAGGCAGGGGCTTTGACCCAGCTCTGTAAGCTGCATTTCAGATGCTAATAAAAAAGTTAACGGTTGCGTGTTGCTTACACAATTTATAATTCATCTATAACTGAAAATAAATACACCGAGCTGAGCTCATATACATACTTGGCCTTTCAGACTAAGAATGGTGATACTGCCTCAGAGGAATATGGGGAAAACTTAGCAGCAGCCTTTTACTAACCATACAAAATACATTACAAAGTGGCCAGTAGTACAGCGGTCAGACATTCTAGTCTGCTGATATAGTAGCAAAACGTAACTCATTTCAGTTGTGGTATTTGAAGCTGAGAATTATGGGTTTTGTTCTCTTTGGATGTGAAGTAAATCTGTGAAACAGTGCAATATGTTGCCGTATTTAACTTACGGACAGCGGTCAATGTGGGACTTTGTGGTTACAAAGAGGAGCATGCAGAAATATGATATGAAGGGGAAGTAGAAGCCATAGCTATCCCATCCCATTTTCTGTTCAGTGAACACTCTGATGTACATCTTTAAAGTGCCAGGGTAGGATAGATAGCCCTTCTAGTTCTGAGGAAAGTGCCAAGAATGTTTCCAATTTTTCATTCTAAGTTAGAGTTATTGGAGGTTTAATTGTACTAAATGAAGACTTCATGCAGGTATTTTCAAAGTGAAAAATACCTGGGGTTTTTAAAGAAAAAATCTCTGTGCTAACAGACATACAGTGTTAGGATTGTAACTGAGAGTAACAGAAGAAGAGGACAAATTCACTTAGGATTCTTAGAGCTGTTATGATTGATCAAGATCACTACTTGGAGTTGCATTTTGTTAGCTTGCCCATTGCCTCCACCAGGTTTGTGTTAAATTTATTGTGACATACCAGATTTGCATTTGTATAAGTAAAATCTCAACAGCAATATTTCATTCAATTTTGCTGGATTAAAAAAAATACGAAGGGAAGAACCGTGATAGACATAAGCATTTCGTAATGATGTTCATGACTTCACTCCCCACTTTCCCTGACTGCTCGTTTTCCATCGCAGCTCCTTCTATAAGTAGGAGTCTTAACAGTGATGGAAAGAGAATTGCCCATGCTCCAGGCATGGTAGGGTACCTCAAATCAGTTTTATAAAAATATCCAACTAATTGTACAGTCTGTAATAATCATGTATTAGCTATTGACTCAGAATAATTTCAGTGACAATTATCTTGTTTCACCTTTTCTTTAAGTGACTGAATCTTGACAGCAATTTCTGAACATCACAGAGTGTTTGTCCATGTCTGTAAAAGAAAGGAATTTATCTTCAGAAGCCTTTATATTGTTACTATTTATTAGCATTTCAGTTACACCTAGACACCAAAAAGGTAGATTAAAACACTGTTGCATTATACTCTGCACAAGCAAATAGCAAAATGTAGCTTCTCCTGAAAGTGTTTGTTATCCCAGCTATTACTCAGGAGTCTTTTCTCTAAAACTCTTGTTAACTCTTCTTTCCTATAAATGCTGTGTATTAGCTGTGCTCAGTGAAGTGGTTTAGCACTTGAATCCCACTTGTGAACAACTTGTGAAACTATTTCAATAAACTGGGAACACTATGAACAAAGACCCCAGGCACAGGCCTTTGTCTGTGTGGACCAGATCCAGCTGTATGTCTAACTTTAATTACGTATTCGTAAGTCACAAATGTCAAGGCACACGTTCAGAGACATCAGTGAATTTGACCACATGATATAATGTAGTGGCAGAGCTACATCGTATACCTGCTGCAGCCATTTATAGCTTTTCCTGACTTAGCAGGAGATGATGTTGGCTATAACCTGAAAAGAAGAATTACAAGTAAATAATTCTTGCTTCGGGGAAGAAAACATTACTTTACATTACTAAAATTAGTGACTGAATCATGCAGAACTCTTCAGAGGCTTATATTTTGTCTTTGAAAATCCCAGTGCCTTGCACAGTACATCTCGGTGCACTGCAGTATCATGTAAAACATGCCTTTGGCACACTTTGGTGAAGCTGGGAAATGAACTGAAATCTTCAGCACTTAATCTGTATTTTAAAATCTTATTTAACAGAACTCTCCCAGTAATATGAGCATGAGTAATCAGCCTGGCACTCCCAGGGATGACGGTGAGATGGGTGGAAACTTCCTAAATCCTTTTCAGAGTGAGAGTGTAAGTATTTCTTTACCTAGGTTTGGGGGGTTTTAACTTTGTGAACCTTTATCTTGTGTCTTTTGTTTAAAAAAAGAAAAATAACAGCAAGAACAAACAGTTTTGTAGCGTACTTATAATGCAGTACTGTGCCTTATGTGTTTTTTACTAGCTTCTAAAATTATAGTATTGATTTGACAAAAAATTGTGCAAAAGACTGCTAGAAGTTGAGCTGAAACTGGAAAATGTGGGAGGTGTAGATTTACTGCAGAAGCTCTTTTCCTAGATTAAGAGGTCAGTTGTCAATGAAAGATCTGTCAAGCAGTAGTAATTATGCTTCACATATTCAGTAATGCACAATGTCAGGCAATATCCAAGCAGCCTAAATACACATAGTTGACATATTCTTACATCTGAGTGTTTCAATGTGTGATTGCCCAACCTTTGACTCCTCAACAATGTGTTTTGCAGGGAATGTCTTTTAGAACAAGATTCAAACTGAGGCATATAATTAAAGCAGAAGTAGATTTCATGTTGCAAAGATGCAGTGTGCTATTAAGAACCAGAAAAAGCAAAGGTTCCCTCTAGTGTTCGTTCTGGGACAGATGATGCTTTTTTAATATGGAGAATGCTAGAGGCAGCAAAACATGGTGTAAAATCGATTACAAAGCAAGACTATAGTATTTTCATACTCATGTGCCTGAAGCTGGGTTTCTAAATCCATTTAGGTTCCTAAATAGGAGTGGCCTGATTTTTCAGAAGTGCTGAGTGACTTCAGCACTTCTGTTCTTACTGGAAATCACTGCTGCCAGAAGTGAGTGCAACTTCATTAGCTATGCCAGTGGTGAACTTCAGAAATTATGATGAGTGAACAGTTTCCGTTAGATCATAAAAACAGTCAATTACATGACAGATGTCATGGGAACCAAGTTTTGAGGGTTTTTCTTTAGTGAAAAGGAAGAGTTTCTATATAGTTGGCTGTTGGTATCTTCATAAAGAGGGCACATGTTCAGATTTTGTGAAGTATTGGAGAAAATTGGTTTGTAGAACCCCAAACAAATGATGTTTCAACATCTGCCAAAAAAACAATAACCCTAGAATCTCCATGACAATGTGATCCTTGATCATGGTAATCCTTGACTCTCGATTTGGCATATGTTGCTTGGAGAGCAGGGAGTCTATCAGCAGACAGGACAGTTCACCACACTAAGGTCATGAAAAGAAGGACTTCAGTTGTACACAAAAGAAAATTGGTTTTCTCAGACACTTACTGGATTCTAGGTGCTCCTAGGGGTTTTTTTCCTACCTGGAAGAATCTGGAACCTGTATTTCTCAGAGGTTTTACATGAGGTGTATACCTACAAGGCATGCATTATACATGCCCTGTGCATTCAAGTCTACTTCTAGGTATCAGTTCCTTTCTAACATGAGTCACATTATAGTCCTTGGGAACTGTCTTGCTTTCTGATTCATATTTTGTTACTTGGCTACTTAGAGTAGGCAGTATTATGAAGTCCTTTCTCAAGCAGATTTGCTATTCAGTTCACCAGGAGTTTTGGCTGGGCATGGGGAATAGTGCTTGGATAATAATGTTAAAAATCACAAATAGCTTTAGATCATCTTTCGGTTCCTTGCCCAAAGTAATTTCCCAGGTACTTTGGCTCAGATACTGGAAATCACTTGAGCAGATGCTTTGCTTTAAGCATTTGAGCTGGTCTCTGGCTTTGGCTAAAGATAAGCATGTTCTTACTGGCTTTGCTGGCCCACTGTGGGAATCCTCAGCAGGACATGATGGGAACAAGCCCTAAAGCAGACAAACCATCAGAGACATGACAAGCAACAAAGTAGACATTGCCCAAGTAATCCATTCTATGTAGTTTGGATGGGAAAGACCCATCCAAAATGCTTTTCCTAATATGCTTGGACACTTGGAAACAGCCAGCTTGAAACTCTGGCTTTGGCAGGATTTTTACTGCATATCTGTTTTTGCAAAGGCAAATTTATCGTTCTGTTTGTTCTGTCAGTTTTCATAATGCTAATACTTCTGCATGTGAACATTTTCCTCTACTTAGAAGATTTTAGGCCAAATGAAGTGTTTCTGCAGTCTGCAGTTTTCAACTGAAAAACAAATTAGGTATATAGATGTGCACTTCTTCTAGGCATTGTGGTGTCCCATTGATTGGTGTAATAAAGTGCCTGCTAACTTGAGGGCAACTATAGCTTGTATAAGGGCTGCAGTTCAATTTGTGTTACAATAATAATGTAATGCAGTGATTTAATTTTTGGGTCACATAAAGGAGAATGACCGTGGATCAGCTTGCCTCCTAGAATTGGTAATACAGAATAATACAGACTGAAAACCTAGGTTAATTCCAGTAATGCGTATCTTTATTCATTTCTTCCCATAAAAAGCTCTCCAAAATATTTATGTGGTTCAGCTAACCATGAATGCAGCTGGTCTACTTGAGACTAGCCATCTGCCTAGCTAATCCCCCCAGTAGCCAGCATTGATCAGGAAAAGGCGTGGAAAGCATCAGTGAAGTATTGGTTCATCACACCACCCAGGTAACACCAAAACAGTCTTCAAGGGAGTTGGCTTTCTCAGCAGTAGCTGTATTTTTGCATAATGAGAGAAGCATAACAGAAGTTGCAATACCACAAATTGAACTACAGCCTTAGAACAGGCTACGGTACAATTTTAGGAGGAAGTTCGAAGAGCGTGTTGACATTTGAACTTATTGCTGTGGTCCAGAAGTGGTTTTAGTTACCTGGGGGAAAAAATGGTTGTTAAAATGTGGATTCCTCTTTTTTCAGTACTCCCCTAGCATGACAATGAGTGTGTGATCCGTTAACAAGTCTCGCCATGAAGACCACAGTGAGTTGGCCCTCTTCAGAGAGCTACTGCAGAAGAAAATTATTCGTCCCAGTGTACAGTTTAACAAAAGGATCTCAGACACAATCAGACCCGCCATTTTTTTTTTCTACCATCTCCCCTGTTTTGTCAAGAAAGTGGGTCCCAAACATGATTGAGACAGCTTAAAGAGTGGCGTAACAGAACTGCCCAAGATGGAACTGCAAACAATTGTCTGTGTATGTACATGTGTGGGTTAATGTATATGTACGTGTGTGTGATATAGAAATGCACACATACATATATAGACCTGCAGGACATTGTAAAATACTATCACATGACATCTTAAGTAGAAATGAGAAGTAGGGACTTTTATTCCATCTTTCTTTTTTTTTTTTTTTTTCACGTTTACATTTTAATTATTAAAATTTGCTTTCCCTCTCCCCCCCTGAACTGTTTTATGTTGCATATATCACTGCTTATAAGTTATTTTTTAAGGTGAACTCAAATGATAAATTCTTCTGATTTTGTAAATGTCTGCCATTACAGATAGGAATAAAATTGCTTATAAGAGCTTTCATTAACTTGTGTTTGATACCAGTTACCCTGTGAATCACAAACTGTACTGTCTCAAGAAATAGAAGAAAGCTCATCTTAATTTTTTGGAGAAATTTAATAATTTTCACCTAGTTTGGTGATTTTTTTTTTTTATACTTTACCTTTAAAAAAAAGAAGCACTGAAGGTTATTTTTCTTCTTTAATTGAAGCCTAATATCTGCAATATCTATTTTAAATGGAAGCCTGAATTTGATACAAGCTTCTCAGTTTATATAGAGTATTATAAGGTTACTGTAAGCGAGCTCCAATTGCTATAGAATCTAGCAATAAAATGTCAGGGCTTCTTCTGCCCTTGGAATGAGTTTTCTATTTAGCATGATTTTCCGTAGGGCTCGTAGTTAGTGGAAATACAGTAGATTCCTTATCACAAAAATATCTTCTAATAATTTACTATTATTTTTCCCATTTTCAGTGATTCTCAGCTGAATCACAACAATCCACAGCCCTAATTCTAAACAGTATTTCCCAAGCCCAGTCAGAAAATCAGGTCACCCTGATACTTGAGTGTGTATTTTTCACCACGTCTACCAGAATTAATTCCCCCAAAACTTTCCAGTAAGAAGCTTTGGGGGTTTTTTTTTAGCCAAAATGATGGAGTAAACTTTTTATGACTACTGACCTTGTGAGGGTCTTACCTTTTGCCATGAACAGAAGAGAAACAAAGATCTGAGCCATTTCATAAGAAGGTCAGGTTGTTAGACATGAAAGCTGAGGATAGAGTGGAGAAAAGACATATGGTCTTAAAGGAAATGCTTCTGGGGGCAATCCCATGTCTCTTCAGGCAAAACTTAAAAACCATTATGGTACATTTAGTTCCTAATGACTTCCAGCTCCCCCAGGAAAACAGAAGTTTACAGTTGTGTGGTGATCAAAAGGTTGATGATCGGCAATGCAGGCACAAAATGGCTGAACAAAAAATCACATCACAGGCAAAACGCAAAGTCCCCTTGTTGGACTTTGCATGTAGAACCACTTACATAGGAGGAGCGGTTCTGAGATGTAGTATGTCCGTGAAGTCTTGCAAGATTTTTAGCATGAACTTGTGATAAAGAACATTATGTAATCGGCTCCTTGTGATGGTAGATACACATAATGGGATGTGTAAGGAATAATACAGTCTCCTAGCCCATTTTTATTTACATATATTATATATATAATATTTCATATATAGTATATGAAAATAAAAAGGTGTCACTTTTTACTCTCTTGTTAAGGCTATTAAAAGATAAAACTCTTAGAGGCTTAAAACTATGTTAAAATATCAAAGATTTTGGTAGCATTAATTTTAGTAATAATAACTACTTTGATTAGTTGTAAACATATACTAGATAGTCATTATCTGGTTTGTGGACTTTACTCCCAGTGATTATGAAGGTTATATTAATTTGCATATCTTTGGAAAATACTTTGTGGCTGTCTCAAAAGATGCAAGAAGCCCCTACTATTGATTTGGGTAAACAAAACTACAAAATCAGATATAATTTCCTCAGACCCTTTGCTGTTGTCACTAATACCACTGGTTTCAGTGGCTATGCCCCCAGTGCACCACAGCTTCTGCCATAGGCACTGCAGAGTCCATCCTTGCAGCCTGCATTCGACATCTATATTATCCTCGGTAGCCTTCTAAGAAAGACTTTAGGACTCTTTTCTGCTCACTTTCAATCAGATGATGTCACTACTGCTGGACTAAGATAAATAGGTATGTCTGGATTATTCATCAGGTGCCAAAGCCCACTCATGCACCAGGTAAGCGTGCCTTCGAGTGAGCTCTTAAGATGAGATGTTGGATGCATGTGGGGTCTGTTCTGTATCTCCAGGGGTACCCCCTGTACTGTCCCACACCAACCCGGGGCTGCTGCAGGCAAGCAGTGTGTCCAGTGACCACGCGACAGCTGCCTGTGGTGGCACCACTGAGGGCTCTCCTACAAGACAGAGTACATGCTGCTGCTGAAGATCCATACCGTGGCAGAATTAAGCAGAATTGCGATTTAGTATTAATCAGAGACTCAATATTTTTTTTGTTTCTGAATTTGGCATTATCTGCAATATTTTAGGTTATAGGTACCTGTTAAGGATGAAAGTCTGACCATTAAATTAAACTTGTGCAAAGAAACACCTTAAATATCATTATCAAAATACATTATCCTAATTTATATACAAGAGCATGACGTCCTTTCAGGGACATAACTTTTCTTCTGTAGTTCTTTCAAACTCCCTTCTATACAATTTTTCTCACTGCTAGTATATCTTTGTTTCCATTTCTTTTCCAAAACATCAATATCATTAAATGTTGTTGCATTGATCCTGCAGCATTAATCTCAATAAATACATTCCTGACTTCAAAATGAACATCAGGCCCTGCTTTTGTAGCCTGTCATTTTGTGCCCTGATATTGCAAGTTACTAGGTATGTCCAGCACTTCTCAAACATAGCCCCACAGACAGGTGGAATAAAAAATGTGCAAGCTTGGAAATTCTAGATTTGGAAGATCTGCTTGAATACTTACCACATATCTTAGTGTTAGATTTTTAATCATCTTGCTTTCTGTAGGGAATGCTTACATCCCTATGCCTACATACATGTGTAAAGTTACTCAGGCATTGTAAGATCAGGTGATGATAACCATACATAGGTTCTGCAGCTGAACCATTAGAAAACAGTCTCACGTGCTAAATACTCAACTTTAAAATTATTAGTGTCCCTTTGCGTTTGTTTGGGTTTTGGGGTTTTTTTCAAATATGCATAGAGCTTTTAGATTGTTCATTTTTTCTTGCTTTTGCTTATAAATCCTTGTAGGATTTTCATCATATCTAGAGTATTAATGTGGAGAGAAAGACTGTTTCCAAGCACTGACTCTTCACTCCCGCTTATGCTTCTAATGCGCTAGATATCAGTGTGTAATGTAACTGCTGTTTATATCTGTCCTTACGTAACAGCAGTATTGATAAGGTCAGAACTTGTCCAGCTCCGAGAGGAATTTCATTTTTATTTTAAGTGGTGCACTTAAGTTTTTCCACACTGGGTTTTTAGTTAGATTTCTCTCTTTAATATAGAAATAAACAGAATAAATGGATCTTTCAGGCAAGGTTAAAGTAAAGCTTTTTAAAAACAGAAATTATAAGATCTTAGAGAAATAGGGAGTGATAGATCTCTCATACTAGGAGAACTCTGGCAAATATTCTGGTCTTGTAGGAATCGGCCAAAATTGGGATTGACTTGTGATTTTTCACAGTGAGACCAGTATTTTTAACCTCCTGCTTACACCTGTGAAAAGGAGTATTTCTATTCAGATTTTATCTCCATGTCCAAATTTTGTATAGGCAAGAACAGGGTTTAGGGCAAGAAAGAAACTGTGAATCACATGTAAAGCATGTGGCCTGACATGCATTTAAAAAATACCTAGATATTTGCATGTATGGGTTGCATTATTTTCTTAATTGCCTGTGCATGAGGAAGAACTGCAGTTGTACTCCATGTTCCCTCCCTCCACTGTAGAGTGAGCTTGGTGCATGTAAAGAACATGGCAATAACCTTGAGTCAAGACTTGGCCACACAGTATGCTGTCCAGTGACATAAAAGTGCCTCAGCTTGGCTCAGAGGCATCTCAGAGTGACAGTGCCCAGATCAGAGTGCCACCCATCGGACTGTGGCTGAGGCCACATTTACTGATTTTATTTGGGAGCTTTCTGGTTGCATAGCCCAGACCACCAGTGGGTCACGTATTCAGAGACAGTAGCAACTTTCAGACTTCCCAGTCTGCTCCACTTAATTTGGATTAAATGCCCCATGCTCCAAGACATCCAGCTGTTGCTTTCTCTTGAAGTGGGAATAAGCAGTGAGAAATACATGGGCTAGTTATTTATTTTAATAATTCAAATTAGGAAGAAGTGAACAGATTCTTGCTTCTTTATAGATAGCAATTCATGTGTGTGAAGGACAGCTTCTTGAACTGTCTAAAAATCATTTTAATTTTCCCTTGTTCTGTGGCTAGCAAATGAAATATTGCATGTACAGATGATTTAGAATTAGATGGATAATTCAGTGAGGGACCAGCTGTTCCAATATTCAGTGCTGAACATTTTATTCTTTTTTACCCTTTACCAGTCAAAATGAATTTTCAACTGATACATATTTCACTGATTTCTCAGCTTAGTTAGTTAAATTCAAGTGTTATCTCCTGTACCTAGTCAGCTCTGATTCTTTGTGGGTTTTGTGGTTGCTAAATATGGACTGGATTCTTCAGGATCTGACCCCACACGCTTGCATTTGGAGAATGTAATATAGAGCTTAACGATGAAAGAAAAGAAAAAAAAAAAAAAAAAAAAAGGTAAATTTATTTTTCTTTAATTCATCTTAAGTAATGATATAACCATGACTTCTGTCCCAAACATGCTTGGGTTCGGTTAGGCCCTAAGGATGGGAATCTTGACAAAGTGCATCTTTCAGACAAAACCCAAAAAACTCTTTCAACAGTGACAGCTCATTTCTCTTCAATCTGATCACATTAAGGTTTTAATTCCGGATTTAATGATACGAAATAACTGTAGAAGTTCAGTACACTCTGATAAATTATTTAGATTTAAATTTGTGTGTGTGCAGCTTCCTCTGCCTACGTTCCAGGCATTACTGACTCGGTCCTGTAAACTGCTGCTCATGCCAGTTGTCCTGCTCCAACTTTTATGAAACCACTCACATAACATCATTTTTTTGGTAGGATTTCACCCTGATCTGGGTGAAATATATAATCTAACTGAGGTGTGACATTATTTGGCGGATATGTAAACTGAGTAAGTAGAGCAAAATACAGAGGGTCTGATGAAATTACCAAAATGATGCTTCAACATGAAAAACAAGAAAAAAGCCCTTACATAAAATAGTGCTTTGACTGCCTGCATGCATGCAAATTGTCTGCCAGTGTTCTTAGAAACAAATTACAGTAACAAATTTAGAGAAAATAAATGGATCATCTACTCAGCATATTTAAGCTCTGATCCTGAAAACTCATTCACATTTGTTTGAAATTAAGCCTGCACCTAGTTAATTTTAAACAGATTTAAGAATACAAGTAGTGTTGTTCCAGACAGTGGGACTGCTAATGTGCTAAAACCATGCTTGAGCATGGACAGCCTAGAAGCTCAAATTAAGTCTTCCCTAAACAGACATTATTTTAAAGATTTTAGCAATTCAGGAACATGTTTGTGTATCTAGTACTGATATGCAGACCAGATTTGGCTTTCTTCTGTTTCTTATTTTATTAGACCATTGTTCACTATTCCATGAACTATTTCTGTGAACTTATCCTTCCACCTTGTTTTCAATTGTACAGCCATAGTTTCCCTCAACATAGCTATCAGCTTTGCAATTTTAGTCCAAACTTCTATTTGGTGACTGTTCTCCATTTAAGCTTAAAATGTGTAAGAAAGCCTCTCATGTAATGGGAAAACTTGCCATAAAAATGTACAAAGGTTTTCTTGGGTACATGTTTTAACATTTAATAAAAATTGCAATTTTCAGTTATAATTTGAAATGGTCACTTTCTAGCCACTATTTAATTCGATGTGCAAAAGAAAACAAATTATTTATTTGATTTCAGCATCATAAATACTTGCTGAAAGACATGTTTTTGGGGAAATCAGATCAAAACAAGATTTACTACCTACTTGATATGAATAATACATCTGGACTTTATGTTGAAAGCTCCTTCCACATCCCCCAAAGTGGATTACCTAACATCTGATATGTACGACTTTGTAAGAACCCAATTCACAAATAGTCATTTCATTTGTCTGTTCTGTGTTTTCACTGTATCTCATGGATGATTCAGGGTGCCCTTTAGCTGTGCAGGGTTCTGTGGTTGTATCTCTCAGAAGAGTAGCCGAGTGGTCAAGCAGGCTTGTTCACAGGGTCTGGTAATTAAGGACTGGATAATATATCCACCAGGTGCGCGCTCAGAAACACAGTATTCATATGCTACCTCGCTGTTCTCATGAAAACTTGTACAATTCTTGCAGTTGGCTCTGGGGCACTCTTAAGATGTTACAGTGCCGAGACAATAAGACTTTGCTAAGAGAAAATTCTGGCAGTTTAGTACCAGTTTTCATAGGGAATCAGCACAAAACATGGGGATTTTGCAAGGTGATGCATTTTCGCAATACCCTGGTTATACAAGGAAATAGACCATACAGTTTAGAAGTTTGGTCTGTTACAGAGATATATACAGTTCCTCAGATTAGGAGGGAATTTTAACAGTAACCATGACCAAACCTATATTTGTCCCTTTAGAGTGAAATCATCAGTAATCACTTCTGATGTGAAGAATTATTGCTATGGAACAACTGCTCCGATCCTTGAGGAGCCATATTATCAACTGGATGAACTGGATATTTGTAGGCTTTATTTTTGTTCTTTAATCTTCATGTTTTTTTCTCTTACTTAGATTTTCCCGTTAAATGTACTGTGCCAGATCTTTGCACAAAAATAAGAGCAATTTGCCCAATAAACATACAGAAAGTTCACATCTGTAACTAGAGCCCTACTGTATAAAGTTTATTTCATTAGGGACACTTGAGTGTAATGACAAATAAGGAGTGAGACATGGAAGAGTGGCATGAGCAAAGTGGAAGCTGGCACTTTCTGTTAGTTAAGAATCAAGTACATTTTTTTTTTCAGGAAAAAAAGCATTCATACAATAAACTTTTTTGCCTTGTAGTGGCTATTTGAGAAGTGTGAATCAAAATGGTGCCTATGCTTAGAGACCAATTGTGAGTGCTTTTTTTTTGTGGCAAGTATCCCCTTGCAAAAATGTTGCAGTGAATCTATTTTGTGCATGTTTGCCTAAAACCACAAAAACAGATTGATTTTTTTTTATGGATTGCTGTACACGCATCTAGCAACTTGTTTCTGATGGGGAGAGAAGGAAGATTTATAGTGGTTGGGTTACCATATTGATGTGAATTACTTAAGCATTGGTAAACTATTGTCAACTTTGTTCACATTGCACAAGATACTCGTGTAGTCTACTGCTGGCATTATACCCTCAGTGATCCATGCATATTCTGTAAATTCCTGTAGGTTTTGTGTAAGAAACCTTGTCACCATTGCTTACTACTGTAAATTCTTGTTTTGAAGCAAGAGGTGGCTTTTGATTGTACAGCCATGTGTATTATATACTACAACAGTACTTGTTCTGTCCTCAAACCTTGCTGTTCACATATAGTTAAAGCTTTGTTAAGCACGCTTAGTGGTTTCAGAATTTATTTCAAACAGCAGATATATAAGCCATTTACGGGAATATTAAATGTAATGTAAGATAATTCAACCCAGTTCATATCCTTTCTGAGAGCTTGGGGTTGGATTTTAGCAGACAACAGGCAACTGCAGGTTAGCACATCTCATGGCTCCGTGCCGCGTGTGCAGTGTGTGCTCTCCCACTGCCGGCACCTGCGAGCCTGAGAGATCAGACCCTGTGCAGGGAACAGGAGGGAAAGTCTCCCCTCCTGCTGTCCCCTGGCCAGCGCACCTCTCGCAGAGAGACCCGCCAGCCTGCAGGCTTCCTTGCACTATGTGAGCAAAGACATACTAGCTTTTTCTCTGGTGTCTTATTTTTTTCAAAAAACTTCTGCATCAGTGCCAGGACAGAAACCCATCTCTAAGGGTATGGAGTGGGTAAAGCACTGCCTCTGTATTGTGTCCCTGTCCCCAGCTACCAGAGGCTTTACATGAGGCAGTGTTTTAAGGAGAATTTAATTATTTGTCTGTTTATTGAGACAGAAAAATAATATGAATTCTTGAACTCTGGATTCTTTTTTTATTCGTATTTTATGATACACAACAAAGACCTGAAAATGTATGTGTGTTCTTTGCTGGTTTCTGACATCAGAAATTCAAGTCATGTCTAGACTGAAACACAATGATGGGGAAAGCGAAAAAGCTGGGAAAGTTGAAGGGGATTCTTATATGTATTGTTTTAAGTTCTGTGTTTTTTTATTGATAGTTTTAAATGTCTATGTTAATCTTTGGAATAAAGGCACTCTTTGTTTGTGACTTTGCACCTTTACATAAGACTGAGTACTTGTAATATATGTTCCCCACACTTCCAAGCCACCCTGTACATAAATTCCCTGCATTTCTAAGGTAGAAAACCCCCATGTTTCTACAGATTACTTCAGCCCATTGCAGAAACCAACAGGGTAATACGAGTCCCTTATTCCCAAGTATTTGCAGGTCACATTTAAACAATTTGGCAAGTGTATTTTAGACAACGACTTTGAACATCATAAATGGACCCAATGTTCAAACTCCACTCTTTGGAAGTAAAGAAAACCACAGTAATTTTCCAAGCCAGCAAGAATTAAATTTGTCAATATAAATATTAGTGTAGAAAATACCTGCAAAACTTGATACTGCCTCTGACCTTAAGCATTAATATTGATAATATTGGGGATCTTGCAAAGGTCATGTATTTGAGAAAAGCTATATTTCTCCTCAGTGTGTGCTTCATTATCTACAGCTACCACAAAGAGCCAATCCATGCCATATTGAAAGAGTTCAAAAGCATGGCAATACAGAATTCCCACAGCATCACAGTAAGCCTTTGGAATATGTACCACAGATACATCTTTATTTGAAGCCCTTAGACTCTGTCAGAAAACAGACCTGCCCCTGAAGGCTTCCCTTCTTTCAAAATCCTTTTTGAAACACAGCTGTTTTTCACAGCTGTTGAAGTGCTGAGAGGTTTGGTGGTGTTGACTCTGTCATACCAAAATACAACCCTCTGTGCATTTGTATATCATGAGAGCCTCCCCTCAGAGAGTGCCTCTGACAGCTGGTGTAGCACAGCTCCGGGTATCCGGTATTCGTAGAAGCTGCCTTGTCTAAGGACCAAACAAGGCCAAGAAGGTCATAAAATCAAGCCTCACTCTTGTGTCTTTAAAAAGTTCCTTGCGAGACTGGGGAGCTGCAAAGACATGGATTGTGGGTCACGAACCACAAAGCGTACCTGGGTTGGAGCCTCAGACAAGGCTTTTACAGACTGTTTTGTGAGGGTAATACTGTACCACCCCATCGGACTAGTTTCCGTTCCACACTGTGTCCTGATTCATCCTGCCCTAATTTTAGCTGCCTAAAAATTACCAGCATAGGACTCTTCTGCAAATCAGAGGAGGTACAGAAGAGGGGATGCCTCTGGTAGATTGTATTACGGCATCAATTGCCCTCTCCACTGATAAATCCTGCATGCTTTTAAAGGCCTACAATTAGGTGGAATGAATCCAAGGGTTTATATTTACCTTCACGTCCCTAGACACAAAAGTGTATTTGAGCCTGGTACAGGCAAGAATAATGCATCTCCTAAGAACCTGAGTCTGAGTGGCTTCCAGATGAGTTTCTGAATCCTTCAAACACAAGATTTCTGCCCTATAGTTGCTATTTTCTCCATCTTTGCTTTATTTTTTATGAAGAAGTGTAATTTGAACTAACTTGTTTGAACATTTCTCGGTTTACACCTGCTTAGAAACCCTCACCTTTATTTGTTAAGTGGGCTCTCTCTTTGACTGCAATGATTCATTCATTGAATGCAACACATGAAGAAACGATTGCATAGATTAATCAACACCAGCAATAGCATATGCTGCTTTTAAATTCAGCTGTGAGGTTGTAACTAAGATATTAATGTTCATACTTTCTGGAGATGGCTGAGGATTCCTTTCCTGAGAGCTTTAAGTAATGAATCTAGGAGCTCCTAATTTAGGATTGTGAGAATACAGGTAGCAATGGCTGTTCATGGCTTTTTGAGTTTTGAACTTTCAGAAAATGTATGCAATTTCACATGCTGGTCTGGACATGAGGAAAGTACCCAGTTTCAGACAGTCCAGATCTTTGCCAACAGCATTGCTGTGGATTAGCAAAGCCCATTTATAGCAGGTTCCACCTCAGGCTTGAACCATACACCTACCTTATTCTAGTTCAACTTGCTAGCTTTCTTCATTAACTGCCAGTACAAAATCATAACAGCAGTTGTACTAGTTCTTGTTGTGAGCTGAGGAACAGCTGAAGTTTAAAAATGCGAATGTTGTAACTTGCACCTTTTCACCTTCATGATGTGTCCACAATTGTCACAGCTGGGCCTGAGAGAGCAGCTGTCTCCAAAGTTGCCATATAACTTCATCACACAAAAGTGGGTGTAATTTTTTTGTGAGTGTAACAGGAGTGGTATTGATACATTTGCTTTATTTCGCAAGTTGCAAGTCATTCACTGTTGAAAATGGTATGCATCATGCGTAGCTATTAATAGAAAAATTAAGAACTGGTTTTTATGATATGCTAGTACAATCCCTGCTCTGCTGTTCAGTATTTTGAGTGCTGAATTGAACCAGAATGTTACCTTCACAAATTATTTTAGCCTCATCTCTGCATGAAAATGGGTATGAAATTCCAGTTAATGTTTCTAGGTTCTTAGTGAATTCTGGGCCAAAGGTAAAACAGTTGCAGTGGGTAAGATTGCTGTGACAGCCACTTACTGACAACTTTTCAGATGCATAAAGGCATTCTGTCATCTGACACTCTTCCAATTTTCTCGGTGGATCACCATGTTCTTGAATATCTTGGTGGTTATTGTCAGCCAATGGAGGAAAGGTGGACAAGCTCACCACCCAGGAAGGGTAGAAATGTAGCAAGTAATGAGCTATCTTCTCCAGCAATCATTTATTTTTAGTGCTAACTTTCAGTTAACATTTGTATATTCACTTATTATTTTACTGTTCAGTATCTTGAGGGGGTATGAGCAAAAATACGTGAATATATATATATAATTTACAAGAAATACAGGCTTGTATCGTGCCTTTGTAATTCTATTCAGCTTCAGTATCTATAAGCTACAAGCAGACAAATTTCTTCCCTCTTTGGGGGTGTTCTTTACTACATAATAGCTGATGGCTTTATTAATACTGGCTATTTGAGTCTTCTGAGGCTAACATTTATGTTTTCCCAGGTGAAAATGCCATAGTTCATGCCATTCTCATCCGACATAAGCACACTGACATAGTGCATGCTGTCACTTAGCTTCTCTCTACACATGCTTGCATGTTGGAAATTTAGAAATGCTGCTGTGTAAATTGCTACCTTACTTACCCAATACAGGTGTTTTTCTGCATCCCTTTTTTGCTCATAACTCCCATCAACTTTAAAGTTTAAAATGGCTTGAAAGGGGGTTTTGGAAGCACAAAGGATGTGGGGAGCAACTCTTCAGTAGTTTACAGTCTGCTGTAAATTAATGTCTTCTCAGCAAAGAAATGTAGCATTTTAGTGGTAACTTCTTAGTGAAAACACTGAGCGTGCTTATCACTTGAGATTTTAAGAAAAAAAAAAAAAGTGTCAGACTGTGTAATTGTATCTCATCTAGTTTTGACACTTAACTAGTAATATTCAATGAGGTATGAACCTCAGTTTTAGCTACATGTTCATGATATACCAACCGACGCAGAACTGAAGGGTGAACAGCCATGTTTTAGTATCGCAGCTACACAAGAAATCACAGTTTTCAAAAGGTTCTGTTTTGATTCTGTTCTTTATTGCTGATGCATTTTCACCACGGAAGTATTTTTCTATATAGTTACCTGAGGCTTCCTTTCACCCACCAAAACAGTCTGTAGCCTTCTGCACTGTGAAAGGCAAGCCCTGTGGAGAAACATGGGCTTTGCACTTGCCCAGCAAATTAGCAGAAATTTCATCCAAGCCATAAAAGCCTCTTATGTTATTCTGTGTTTATGTAATTAAAGCAATTAGGGATGGGAGCTTCAGGAGTAATGAGGTCTCTCTATCCTCCATTTTACTCTCTCTCTCTGTACTTCATAGGGATTTAAGAGTTCTTTGTTCAAGGCTCAGCTGTGTCTCTCTAAACCAGTGCAGTCTACGTATCGTGTGAGATTCATCTTATGGAGATAGCACTGGAGCGTGAAAGATTTGCTTTTGGTAGCAAGGAGGAATGCATGTCCCTGTGGGCATGCACACTGCAGACAAGTCTGATACCGAGAATAAAAAAAAAGTCAAGATGGTACCAGTACATCAGACTCTATACTACAGTGGGGTTTTTAGCTTTTCTCAATTGTATTTTATTTTGCAGGAGGAGTTGGGGAATCTCAGATAACATGGGGAATTTTAGAAGTATATCACTCAACAATCATTTTATAAAGTCTAACTTCAAAATGCACTATGATTTGTTACAAAAATATATTTTCTTCTGTTTGCTGACATGGTTGTTCCATTTTGTGATAAGTTAAACTCAGCAGTTAATTTGTTGCACTGCCTAGCTGCATGAATTCATCCAGTGTACATATGTACCTGTGCAGCATTACTTTGGGTTTTGTATTTGAATTTGCAGTATTGATTATTATTTTTGTATTTTACTTTACCTCTGTTATTGGAATTGTAGTAAACATAATTTATACATATGATTTTACAACTGTTTTGCAATTGAAAAGTCTTCTTTAAATTGTAAAGTTTTATTGATGGATACTCATTAAAATGGTATAAGAATTATATTAACAATTGTTTTGTGTTTTGATGCTCTCTGTACATAAATATATGTCTATTTATCTGTTTAATGGTGCTTGTGTCTTGCAATTTTGGATACATTTTAGAATAAAGTTTCATTTTACAAGAAGTAGTTGTATTTTCACAAGCTGTGTCAAAAAAACCCTTTTTTCCATAACTAGGGTTATGAAAGAAGCATACAAATCTCTAAAACATTTATAACTTCAGGCAGTAATAGTTTCAAGAAGATAGAAGTATAGTCTAAAAAGATGCACAGCTATGTATTGTAGTTGATTTGCTGCAGTAATGGACATCTGTATTTAAAACATTACCAAAAAGGATCATTTTGGAGGTGTGTCCTACAGCTGCTGACTCCATTGGTAAGAAACGATTTGTGAAGGTGTTAAAGATGTCACGATTATCACGAGTCTGTTATTTTCCAAGGAACACTAAATCTTTCCAGTCACACATACATCTGTTTAAATATAGAATGAATTTTGTAGAAACCTGAAAACCAATTCCAGATTACAGACTTTTGTGGAATTTTGGTTCTTAATCAAACCTCCTTTGCTACTCTTTTGTTCTATACCATTTCTCAGAATAAATTCTAACTTGTATGAAAGGCACGGCTGGAGCAGTTACACTCTTAGTTGAGTGGGCTGCTAGCTGTCTATGTGCTATATGACTGAACAGTACTTCTTGCTGGCTTTAATGACTTTACAGAAGATTTATTCACATCTAATAATGAGCTCATCTTTTATTAATTGTGCCTCTTCTGGCACAATTCCTGTACAGGCATCATGTCTTGTTCCTCACAGCACTCGTGAGATGCACTGTTGTGCTGCACAAAGTTTTTTAAGTAATGTTGCTTCAATTACAAATGCATGTTATTAGGAGATGGTAACCTAATATCCATTCTGTTTTTTTCTTTGTAAATGTATTTAAAACAGTACTGCACTTCTTGGTTTTGTTGTTTTTATTGTTTCAGTTCAGCGGGAGAAGCCTCAAGCCATTAAGTGCGAATCATTTAGCGACAAAATCTTTTTAAAACTGCATTAGCAAGCAACGGTTCTTGAAGGGAAGTTAATTTCTTAGTCGGTTAACCAGACTTCTGAAGTTGAGCTCACTCTAATTCACCACCAGTTCTCATTAAGTGAGTGACTGAGTGATATATGGGTTTGGATGTAAGGCATCCTACATCTGCCCTTGACCATTTGTACCTATCACCACAGTGGGCATCAATAAAGTGAAACCTGGTGGTTCACAAAGCTGCTTCCCAGCTGTGTAGTGTTGGTCCAGCTGCCTTCATCTAGTGGTGATGCCAGAGGTGCCAGTATAGGCTACTGTGCCACAAAACATACTTTTCAACTGGGAAACCACTGAAAAGTATAGATCTCTGTGGACTTGGGCCAGTAACTTAATTTCTATGATTTTTCAGCTGTGAAAGGAGAGCAGTACTGACCATACAGGTATTTTCTGATGACAAATACACTGAACACTGTGTCACGTCCCGCTCCGACGAGGGGGACAAGTGACTCAGATTCACAAATCCCCAATTGGAGCGGACAACAAGTCTCCAAGTTCAAGCATTTATTAACTACCTACAATGTACTAATTGAATACATGATAATTGGCTAAGTACAGAGCAAGCTGTGGCGAGCAATACAATATGGTTTGCATTTCTTAATAGAAAAAGGAAAAGAGGGAGATAGAGGGAATGGGGGAATACAGATCACTGGTCTAGGTTCCTGTGTTGATCCTGCCAGCGAGGATTCGAGGAGGCAGCTACCTTCTTCACTGGCATTTGTCTTCTTTGCTTCACTGCTCTCTCCAGACGGCTGGGGGGGGGGGCAGGAAGAGGGGCAGAGAGAGAGAGAGAGCCCTTTCTTCTCCCCTTTGATTTATACCCACTTTCCTTGGGTCCGTCCCCTAGGT